CCTCCACGGCGGCTGGCGATGATTGACTCATAGATTCAGGTTATATCCATCAGTTTTTTGAAGAAATTGGAGGGGGGACGGCGGATGGAGCGGAGGCAAGCCATGTGCGCCACAATATGACCTACCTACCTGGTGCTAGCGTCCCAGCAGCGGGTGCTAGTATGACTCTAAGACCTCTCGGGCGGTAAATAGGATATCGTGCAGCGCGTGTGTTACCGTTTATGAATGTGCATACGCCTGCCGCGCATGCCCATCGTTACATATCCTAATCTCGAAGCTGAGTGCGCATCAGGTAGTGGGTTCACGATCCCGTAGCACTGGTAGCATGGTATGTACCCGGGCACAAAGCGGGACATCCCAGCGGCGGATGGCCTGGACAGCGGGTAGGACAGGAAGTACCAACAAATTGGAACGTACCGCCCCGGCGAGGCCTCCAAAGGACGACTTTCGCGCAGGGAGATTCCGCCTTACTAGGGTCTGCCAAAGGGGTGGCTGAGGTGCGATCATCCCCATGGTACTTCTCACTCGCTCTCTTTCTCTCTCACCAACACCGACCAGCGGGATCTATTGCTTTTACGGCGACCCACACAGCCGTGGGGCTCTGTGATCACGATGGCACAAATGCTCTGGCAGTAGTAGCTTCTCCGACCGAAGCACTTTCAGTACGTCGAGTCGGTAGAAAGGACTTGCACCTCCTGACTCCTGAAGCCGGAGCGAGAAGCGGCATCAAAGCAACAACCATTTCTCCTTGGATGATCGAGCTGTATCTCCTCCCCCTTACCTACTTATGCGGCCGACCTGACAGCATTGACTTGTTGCATCGTTTGATCACGATCGAAATAGGGAGATCAGGAACTGCCCCTGTCTGCCTCCGTGACGATGAAAATCCAGCAACAGCCCAACAATCCTCAGAAGGAAAAAAAAATCGATAACGCGGGCATCGCACGCATGTATCCGTACGGCATCATAACATCCCAATCAGATTCGTACTCGACGCGTGACCCCAAGTACCACTGTGCAGCTCGGTGCCGCCGCATCGCCCCCGCCCGCTCGAGAGGAGTCCGAAACGCAAGAACGGAAAGGAAATCAGATCTCGAAGCTTGCTCCCGATCATCGATCATCCCCTCCCGAGTCCTGACGCAGCGCCACCCCGCCCCCGACGACAGGCCTGCGAACCCGCCCGATGGCTGTAACACGACAACGTCGGGCCGGCCGGATAGGTTTCTCACTGGGATTGTTGTAGGAATATCTGCGGACCGCGATGCATTGCTACCTAGGGATGCGATGCGAGCCCTCCCAACCGTCGTGCAAAGCAGAAAGAAAGACGCCAACACAAAAAAAGGGGATACAGAAGAAATGCCGTCGGTAAGACTTGAGTCCGTCCGAAACCCGGGGAGTTGACAAGGAGCTGTCGTCAGAAGAAGGATGAGGACTCCGCAGACCACCTCCGGGGCGTACATACGTATGTGTTAGGTCGTATCCCCCCCACTTGACATCGGTTAACCTTCTCGAAGGACGACCACATCTTGTTGTATCCCCCCCACTTGACAACGGTTAACCTTCTCGAAAGACGACCACATCTTGTTGCATCTTCACTTGCACTTTGCTTGGGTTACCGTTGCCCGGCCGGCTTGTCTCATTACGATAAATGCATAGTTATAAAGCGAATACACGCAACGTTCGACTGGCCGCTGGACGACGCTAGACCCGCAGTAAATCAAACCAGTCATTACGACGGACAGGCTGGATCACTCTGCCCGATCCTACTAGCAGGGGTGCTCCTGTCTGGCCGCGGTATTCGCGGCACAACGGACACGGGAGCGATACGCATGCATCGACACTCTCCAAAACAGATGGAAGTCGGGCGCCGCAAGGAGTCGTCCGTGTCTTTTGCTAGATCCCCGCCACCGGCCTCGCAGAAGACACGGGTAAGAAAATGGTAGCAACGTTCCTTGAGTCCCTTTGACGCCAGCCGTCGTCTGACACCCCGCCGAGCTGGTGACTATCTCTCGAGAGCTACACTTATGACAGTCGTGGCCGACCGTCATGGTTGTCTAGCAACGCCTTTGCTACTCCGAACCTGCCAACACCGTGACGTTCCCAGGACTCCTGACTCTAGAGCCTGACCTAGCCAGATGATCGATGGGGTAGGGGACTTTGAGCGGACAACCCAAGAGTCTACCAGAACGACATTATCACATGTCTTGATTTCATTTCTTATCCGTCCTTGGATAAATCCATTGCCCTGCTCACTCAAAGCGCGTATACAACCTGCGTGCTATTGTCTACGCGAATGGCTTCGAGTCTTTGCTACGCGATACGTACAGCAATTCTCCGTCCCAGGCTACGACTGCGTCATTGTCAACCATCCAAGTCCTCCAATCCTCTGTCTGTAGCGCGGTATCCAACTTAACCCTCAACATCTTCTCTGATTCACGATACCTTTGTATCAACAGTATAGCACAGTGCTCGAGAAGGGAATGTAATATCTTGCGACCATGCTTTTTCAAATGAAGGTTGAGATTTCGAATCGAAGAGAGCTGAGACATCTCCGTGAGGAAGTCCATGACGCGCTGCATCGACGACGGTGATTTCATAGTATCACCATCATCTGGCAGAGTGATTTCAACTGTCACGACACGATCGAGGCACATGAGGCGGACGACGGGCAGGATTGGCACATGCGACCCATCGAATTTGAACAACTGCTCCTGTCGCCGCGGCAAAGCCTTTGACCTCCTAGCACGCCAGCGATTTGAATACGCCGTGAGCTGGTAATTATGGAGCAGGGGTTGTTGCCATTCGACAACGAGCATGTATACCGGGGTGGAGCCCACCTGACAGGTCTGCTGGTCTTGCATAAAAGTGGCCAAAGAAGACATCATGGACGCTTCTTCGTCTGACGAAGATAAGAAATCCACCGACAGAGAGAAAAGGGAGGGGCAGCGGATGTACCGGAATAACTCAGACGTTCTTGCCCTTGGGCCATCCACTGATAGGGTGCGTAGCTGATCCACTACGGCGATATCGCTTGGTGGGTCATTCTCCTCCGAATTCGAAAGCCACACGTGATGGTCGTACGTATGTTGGAGCTGAAGCGTACGCAAAGCAGGCATGGACCTGAGAGCCGCAACGAGCTGTGGTCCACTGGGAAAACAAGCCGCGGCCAAAGCACCCAATTCGAGGACCGTCAAGTTTTGGACCAGTGCTGGACAGCACAACATATCCCATTTGAATGTCACTAGCCTGAGCGTGAGGTGGCGAAGCCGAGGTGCGTATAACCCGAGGAAGTTGTCCGGAAGGCGTATGTGCTGGTCCCAGGAAGCGATGATGAGGCATGTGGTGAGTTGTGGGGCGGCGGATGAGAGTCTGAGACGTGTTCGTTTGCGGCCTTCAGATATAGGAAGTAGTTTGATTGACCGAATGCGATCCATATGCGAGAGGGTGGTCTTCGTAGATCCGTGAGTTGGATATTTCAGGCGGCCTGCGTCAGAGAAATATAACGAGTGACCACCAGACCGCGACAAAAACAACTCAGTGAGTGGTTGAGTAGCACGAGGGAGTAGCGTCCAGAGAGCGGCGGTATCAAGGGCGACACTTCGCCAGTGTTGGCATACGTGCGAGAAGGCATGGCTGGAAGGGAAAGAGAATGGTGACTTCAGACGGGATACGCTGTACCGGAAGATGATGGATAGGACATCGGAGGAGAGACGAAAGATAGGTGCCAGCTCGTTGCGACGTCCTCGTAGTTCGCGTAGCTTTTCAAGCGTACTCTCGATCTCACGATCGATGCGGTGCCTCTCCGTGTTGCGAGTCGCGAATGGCAGATTCCAAGGGAGGACTTCTGATCTGGGATGTGGCGATAAGGTGAAATTCGAGCACAACAGCATACGAAAATGTTAACCTATGGTTGACTCTATCCATGTCTACGCGCCAATTTTGTCCCAATTGAGCTGACTTGGTGTGGGCAAAAGACAGATGAAGAACGAACGAAAACCAAACGACAAAGACGCTAGCGCATGTGGCGCGCCACAAACGCGACCCGCATACTCCGGTGAGGTCGGTGATCTCATATAGCCGGAGTAACCCACGAGTCACTGGCAGCAATCCGTGCCATCTTTGCCGCCCACCACGGTGAACTTGTTATAGCATGGCTACATCGCCGCCAGAGCTACGCAGCATATTCGATCCTACGACATGTGTCCGAAAGGGGCTCTGCCCTGTCACGAAGATACGGAGCAAGAAAGGCGAAGACCAGTCACCTTTCGAAAGCCATTCGCTATATTTTGAGCAACATGGTAACGGGGACACGAAGATTCTGGCCATCATGGGGTATGTGGAACATACAGCTCAGTAGCACCCCACGCTCAGCTTACCCGACTTTCGCTGTAGGTTAAACAGCAGCTCGTTTGCGTGGACGCCGCAGGTGGACTACTTCAGCAAGCAGGCTGGGTACTCTGTCCTCGTCTTCGATAACCGGGGAGTCGGAAACAGCGGAACACCTCGTGGACCATATACGTCTGTCATACTATCTCCTAAGCTCTGTGTCATCTCAGCACTTACAATAGGTGGTCGTGCCATTCAGGACGAGTGACATGGCTGAGGATATCATTGTGTTGTTGGAGTACGTCGGGTGGACGGCTCCCAGAGATCTCCATGTAGTTGGCATATCTCTTGGAGGCATGATTGCACAAGGTATCTATCAAACATGGTTGTTCGCGAACCATACTGACCACCGCGGCCCAGAGCTCGCTTACCGAATACCACAAAATATCCTCTCGCTGACCCTGGCCGTCACGACCCCTGGTGGGCACCCATGGTCGAATTTACCCTCAGTGAGTTCTCAAAACGCGCATCGCTCATTCTAGGACGCTGATGAAATGAAGTGGAAAGGACTGTCGTCGCTCGCACGATTGACGTTCATGACCGACCCGGAAGAGAAAATCCCTATTATCCTCGAAATGGTGTTCCCCGTGTCCTGGTTAGATAGTCCTGCGGAAGAGGATCCGGAAGGGCGCACTAACAGAGCCGTACAGACGGAGGTAAGCAATAACCCTGCATCTATCTACGCGCTGGCGCTCAACTCCTGGCGGGCTTGTAGATCTACCGGCACCGCATAGCCATAACGCGTCCGCAACAATTCATGGGCCACATTTCGCAAATGTTTGCGGCGCTCTCTCATTATGTGTCGCCGTCCAGGTTGGCCAAGATATCCAAGGAAATCCCAAAGGTGCGTGTCCTGGAGTCCATACCTGCGTCGCTTGTTCGCGTCTGACGTCGTTCGCGCTTTCTCCCTGCCAACTGTAGGTCGTCATTGTAACTGGTGATGTGGACTACCTGGTCGATCCCCGCAACAGCGACAAATTGAAGAGCGCCATGCCTGAGGCGGAGTTCGTCAAGTGGGAGAACACGGGACATGCAATTCATGCCCAGAAGCAGAAGGAGTTCAACGCGTTGCTGGAGAGGACGTTCAGAGAAGGCAAGCAGAACGCTGCAAAAAGGGCGGAATAGATTTGCAGTTGACGATCTTCATGGCAATCGGTGACGTCGAAGGTCATGTTCGAGGTTCAAGCATTTGTTATCTCATTTATCTGTGTAGATGTAGAGGACAACGATATTAATTCGCATGCTATAGCAGTTCTCGCGGAGAGGAGTAACGACGAGGATTCATATATGTTTCCGTACGTCAGGTCGATTACGAGCAAGACCACTTAGCTGCCCTATACATATCATACCGCAGCTTTGCAGTCCTTCCGTGCCCGAACAGCCCCCGAGCATGCATCTCCTGCACCACACGGCGTCTGAACGCCCTGACCGCGTGCCATCTTTGCCCTTCTGCGTAGGCCGTGCCCGACAATCACCCCCGCAGGCTTCTCCACTCCTCCTTCAGCGAGGACCCCTACCCCTTCTCAGATTTCCTTCAAGAACTTCTTGAACTTCTCCCTGTACTCGGACCTGACGTTCTTGAATGTCCTCTTTCCGAGCTCGGGTTCCAGCCGGATGTTCGACGGCCAGTTCGCTCCCTGCGCTTCCTGACGCTGCTGTAGCCGCTCGATGAGGGTGACGGGCTTGGGGTGCCGAGTGAGTGCGGGCACGACGCTGTCGCTGGCTTGGACTGCTGGCGGGAGCTGAGCGCGGGGGATGATCCGCACGAGGCGAGCGGCCGTAGGATTCATGGTAGCGGCGGGTTGATCAAGCTCCCAGAGGATCGAGCTGGTAGGGTATACTGTGAATATGCCGTGAGGTGTGGCAGGCAGTTCTGGCAGCAAGCGCGAAGGATGAGCGTGACGAGAACGTGAAGTCACCATGTCATTGTCACATCCGCCTTGTTAGTGTGCGAAGCGCTACGACGTGTATTCAGACCGAGCAGCCATAAAGGTATCATACATTAGCAGGGTATTATCTAGGGCCTATGATAGCTAACGTTAGTCGTCGGTGAAAATCATGTTGTAATTCGTGAAGACATTATCATCGGCCCGCTTTCGGAAGCGTCGAGAGGTGCAAATACCACCGCCCAGGGCTGGTATTCAAGTTCAGATAGACGCCCCACCATATCCGGCCGCCGGCGACGCTGAGACAATCTACGCGTCGAATCCCTTGGGCCCATTCATATTCAGGTAGCCCACCGGATTCCGCCCTGCAACATCGCTCTACCATCGCAGCTTGAATGGTAGTCCTTGCATCCGGCCCAACGTGTCGGTCCAACGTGTCCAAGTCCTCCTGCGACAGCATGATGCTATAAGCCACCTGGCCCAAATGGTTAACACAAGCACTTACCGAAGTGATCTTCTCTTGGAAGTACGTGTAGATAGCCCATAGCAGGTTGCCCACGGTGACCCCCTTGGAGTTCCTCGCTACGATTGGACCCCAATCGGTGCGCCCGGTGAACCACGTAGTGATGTGCACGGTCTCGGTCTTGGGCCACACGACTTGCTCATTCTCCATCTTTCCCAGCGACTTGTAGATGTGGTTGCCTGTAAGGCGCCTCGCCATGCTTGGCATCTGTGCTAGGTCCCACATGAGCTGCGGGGTGTACGCGTCCGCCGGGCTGGGGATGACGTGCGGGTTAACCACAGGGCGGACGGGATCGGGCACGCTGGTGGGGGGCCAGGCGGGGGGCAACCACTGCGGGACCGTGCCAGGCAGAGGATGGCCGCCCGTTAGGAGGATGGTAGGGGGAATGGCGGGGGTGACGGGTATCGGCGCGGCGAAGGGCGTTCCGGGTATGTTACTCCAGAATACGGGCGCAGGGATGGATGGGTGGGGAAGCGGATGCGGGTGCCATGTCCATGAGCCTGGAGTCGTCGGATTGTGGATCGTATGCCCGATCATCGAGACCGGGGTCAACGCGCCGCAGGCGGGGGCTTGGACGATAGGCGTCGGCACGAGAGCCGGGAAGGGGGTCCACGTGCCTGCCGGGGTTGTGATAGGCGCCAAGGGTGTCTGCGCCATTGCTGGAGTCATGACTGGGATAAAGGAGGGGGCCGGGGTCGCAGGCACGACAACTTGTGGACGGCGAGACGGGGAAGGCGGATTCCTGGTAGTCCAAGGCATGATTTGAGGGGTCACTAGAAGAGGAGAAGGAGGAAAGAGCTGGATTTAAGTATGTCGTCCTAGAAAACTGCATGAATAGACAGCCCACGCCATACCTGGAGTATGGGCCCAGTCTGGCACAGGCGGCGCGAACTGGCGATTTGGGTCGGGCCATTTCGAGTCAGACGGGCCATTACGGCCCGGGCAGTCACACCCGTCGTAGCGCCCGCAGGTGCACAGCGAACGTGAGGACACGCAGCAGGGCGTGCACCGCAGCGCACTCTTCAATGGCTTCAGAAAGCGATTCCAGCTGGACCGGGTACGGGGGATTACCGCGTGTGTCACCGGATCTACGTCAAATGCTATATCGTGGGGGCGATCGCGGGGGTGTATGAACCGGCCCTGCTCGTCGTCGTCATCCTCGTCCGGTACAATCCACGGATTGCGGGCTATCGGCATCGTGTTCTCGCTACGTGCTGGGGTCGAGACGGTGCGCGAGCGAAGTGGAGGAGCACAGAGCCTGCGGTGCTATGGAGGGCGATGCGGAGGGCCGGCCTAGGTCGAAGAGCGGACGGAAGGTTTAAGAGCTGGAGACGCCGTAGAACACAGATCCGAGTAGGATTTCTTATACCTGCTGAAGATCTGTATCCAGGGCCCGCCATGATATCCGGGAAGGATGAGCACTTTGATATCGATGGACTGCATTTCTGCCCTGACCCATTGTCGCGAGCGATGGCCTTGTTGTCCGTAGCGTTCGAGTCGACTAGCACTCAACAAAAGCGGCATCTCCGTTAACCGCATCGCAAATAGCGAGGGCCCACTGGGGCAAATAGCAACGGTGCTGGCATTCCGACATCGCAAGAGCCCAAGGAGAACAAGGTCAAGGACTGGGAATTAGAGAGCTTCCAAAATCGATATATATCGAGAATTTATTTTCACATCGTGCGATTTGGCCCGCATTTTTGGCCATAGAATATCAAAATCTCGATATATATCGAAACTGGAAGCTCTCTATTATCGCCACCGCGCAGCACCTCGCGGTACGTCACATATCTCCCGAGAGTCACGCCCATTAGATGGTTGAACGCGTCCTTGCTTCACATTGCACAACCCACCATTGTAGAACCCGATCTTGAGTATCGGAAGATACCATGGACCAACCACAACGAATTGTTCGAAAGAAAAGGGACGCCACCGGAGGTGAGGTGACACCGAGTACCCCTAAGAAGGCCCGTACAAGTACGTCCAAGAAAGCAGCCGAGAAGCGTGAACACGCAGACCTTCAGGTCGCTGCGTGGCCACCTTACTTTCAATGGGTGAGGGAGCTTTGCATGCGGAATGCCTGCATTCTGATCAAAGGTCGCAGTTGTTCAAAGTAAGAGCTTGCCCCTTGCTGAAGAGAGCCAGGATGAGAACAACAGCTAACGCTAACGCCGCCGCCGCCGCCGCTGTTTCAGGTCTTTAAGGTACGCCGCCCGCCACCGCCATCGAACAATGTACTGAATGATGGACAGGCGCTCAATACGGTACTCGCGTTTTGTTCGTCAAGGAAACACCTTGCGACTACGTTTCCCGGAGTGCGCAAGTCAGTGGAAGGCTTACTGAAACAGTATGTTACCTCCGACAGTCGGAAGATTGAGTCGATACTGACTACGACGTCAAGACCCTTAGATATGACAAAAGTTGCGGAGTTGAAGTACGTTCATCAGCGAGCTATGCGTAACTTGTCCATCCGAATTTGACTTATCCCAAGGGCGCTTCTTCCCGACTTGGTCAAGTTTGCATACATCCCTCAGAACGAACTACGGATTCACGCGGATTCCCAACAACCTCGGCGGGAGAGATCCCCGGACTATTCGGCATTCGCTTCAGGTGGAGGCTACATGTCCTCCGAAGGGTCATGTTCCCAAGCTGGCTCCGCCGCGGGCGTATCAGACGTTGAAGTAGGTGGATACGTGGATGAAGGTGAACATGTCCTTGTCCTCGAGTTCAATGAGAACGTCCGGGGAAAGAAGACGGAGAATCCGTGCGTACGGGCAGTGCGAGAGATCTTTATCGTCCTCATGGTCATGTCTCTAGATTTGCCTATACCTTACCTCCGTCTCTAACACCGGCAGCCATGAAGAAACTGATCGAGAAACGTAACGAACGATTCAAGAACGCCGTCGAGGAGTAAGCTTTGGCGTTTTTGGGAGAAGCGGTATCTCAATAACTCACTGCCTCCTTCCTAGATTGATGTCTGCCACACCTGAAGGCGAGGATCCCGTTGTCCTTTTGCAATCCGCAGCAAGGGACCACATACCGGTTAACCCGGCCTCCGCGACCAAGAATACTGAACCATTTCCTGCTGATGCTACGGTGGCGGATGGCGTGCCGGAGTCGAAAGATCGTCCAAGTATTGATTCCGTCCTTACTGAGTTAAGCCTGGAGAGCTGGTACAAGGACCAGATTGTAGATCGGCGAACGTTCGCAGAGAAACAGGGTCAAATAGGTGCGTCTACGTTCCATGCGTACGCGTCATGAGTATTGAATTCTTTCTCCCGTCTCACAGGGACACTGGATCCTCCACTATCAGAAACCATACTGCAGGCTCTCTGTGACTCGCGTAACATCACCAGCCTGTACACCCACCAAGCTGACGCTATCAATGCTCTCGCACAAAAGAAGCATGTTATTGTTTCAACGAGCACCGCGTCTGGGAAGAGTGTGATATATCAGGTATTGTCAAGTCATCTTCTCTCGATATCGACCTGCCAACCTAATCCATCTTTGCAGGTCCCTACGTTGCGGTTCTTGGAAGAGGACCCGGACGCGACTGCTATCTTCGTGTATCCAACAAAGGTGAGGAGCCGCTGTGATCGTGCGACTGCATCGGACTGCATTGCTGATAGGGGTACAGGCCTTGGCTCAAGATCAACGCGCGGCGCTAGAACAATTGCTGGTCGCGTGTCCTGGACTGGAGCACGTTCAGGTGTGCACTATGGTACCTTTGCCTACTACAGCACTCGAGCTACGCGTACCAGGTCGCCACATACGACGGCGATACGTCACAAGAGCAGCGGCGATGTGCGTGATTGTCATCAGTGCGGATCCACGGCTTATGCTGATTTATGCATTCCAGGGGTTCGAGAACATGCCTCTGTCATCTTTACGAACTTCGTACGCGTGTGGTCAGTCATGCACCTAGGAGAGCCTGACTCTGGGATCAGGACATGTTGCATACCTCGATTCTACCGCACGAGGAGATGTGGCGACGGTACGCTCTGTGATATTTGGCGACTTGGTGATAAATTGTTGACGAGCTGCGAAAGTTTCCTCAAGAACTTGAAACTCGTTGCTGTAGATGAATTGCATTACTACTCCGCGCTCTTCGGGAGGTAGGTGTCTGAGAGAACGGAAGAATGTATGCCCGGGACTGACCCGTGAACACAGTCACGTCGCTATGATCATAAGGCGTTTACGAAGGATATGCGCGGCCGTCGGCAGTAGGTTCCACTTGTGCACACCTCAGCAATGTGAATGGACAACTCTGTGATAGATCGATGGACACTTTTCGTCTCCTGCAGCGCCACCATCACGAAACCAGGCGTACATATGAGGAACATGTTTGGCATCGAAGTATGTACCGTTCGCTCCCTTATCATACCTCATCTCACCTTTTTGAGTGATAGGAAGTGGAAGAGATAACCGAAGATGGAGCCCCATCTGGCAAGAAAGACTTCATTATCTGGGACCCGCCTCCGATCGATTCCATGGATCCAACCTTAGGCAAGCGGAGCGTACTCACGGAAGCGACGGGCTTGATGCGATATTTGATGAAGCGAGGTATCAGGGTGATCCTTTTCTGCAAAGTGCGTCTTTGATTTACTTTGCCTTGGAGCGTATGCTCATAAGGCGGGTGATTCCGCAAAATAGATACGGAAAATGTGCGAGTTGGTAGGTTCACCAATACATAAAATGGGCGAGAGTTGAAGCATATGTCAGGCGATGAAAACCATAAGGACGGAGCTCAGTGCCGAAGGAAGACTAGACGTCCTCGACCGGGTAATGTCGTACCGGGGTGGTAAGTTCATACCCTTGTTCAGAATTTGCGCGATCTGACACGCAACCTAGGTTATTCGCCGCATGTATGCAGCGATATAATGCATGCGACGTCATCTCCGTCTGACTGTTTTATTATTTTCGTTACTAGGATCGTCGCAAGATCGAACGGGAAGCGTTCTCCGGGAAGTTGCTTGGCATCGTCGCCACAAATGCGTTGGAATTAGGGGTCGATATCGGCGTACTGGATTGTGTGATCATGCTCGGTTTTCCTCTGAGCCTGGCAAGCTTTGTGAGTGGTTTTCGTGCTCTCGTGTTGAAGGTTTTATGAACGCTCGTTGCGACAGCGACAACAAGCAGGTCGTGCTGGGAGAAGAGCTCGAGACTCGCTCGCGGTTCTCGTCGCGGAAGCGTACCCTGTCGATCAACACTATGTGAACAACCCGGATGATCTCTTTAACAAGCCAACCGGAGAGCTCTTAATTGACTTAGACAGCAAGGTTATCTTGGAAGCTCATCTTCAGTGCGCCAGCTACGAGATGCCGCTTACCCTGGAGGACAGCAAGTACTTCGGTCCACTCACTGCCGCAGTATGCGAAGAGCGGCTCGAGAAAGACAAGGACGGTTGGTATCACCCTCACCCGAAGTTCCTTCCATTCCCTCCCAGCCACATTGCTATTCGTGGTGCGGAAGAGGAGAAATATGCCGTAGTTGACGTTACGAAGTCGACGGCGAGGATATTGGAAGAAGTGGAGCTATCCCGCGCTCTCTTCGAGATCTACGAAGGCGCTGTCTTTATGCATCAGGGTCATACATTCCTTGTCAAGGAAGTCAGCCACGACTCGAAGTTGGCGAAGCTCGTCCGTGCGGACGTCAATTGGGTCACCGAACCCAGAGATTTCACCAACATTGACGCAGTCAAGACTTACCGTATTCGGGAGATCAAGAATTCGCCTCAGTTCGGATACTACGGGCGCGTCGAGCTGAAGACGATCGTGTTTGGCTACTTCAAGATGCGCAATCGGACTATCATCGATGCTGTAGATTTGGACACCCCTCCTTGGGAGAGAGAGACGACCGGAATGTGGATCGATGTGGACAAAGCTGCCGTTGATCTGATGAGGATGAAAGGCATACATCCAGCCGAGGCTATCCACGCTGCTCAGCATGCTTTCCTTAATCGGTTCGCTATGGGTTCCGATCTGAGGACGGAGTGCAAAGTGCCCGAAAAGGAGTATAAGGCCCGCGAATCGTCTAGGAAAAGGCCCGCAAGGTAGACGATTGATTGCCCCGAGGATTGCAATGCTCATTGACAGCCCTCAGGCTTATATTCTACGACCCTGCCGGAAAAAATGGCGGCATTGCGGCAAAGGCATTCGATCATTGTGAGCAGCTAAACTCGTTCTTCGCATGTCCTGGCCGCTGATCTCACAAATACATCTGCAGTGTCTGACACCTTGAGGCGTGCCATGGATAGAGTCAACTCCTGCCCCTGCGAAGAAGGGTGTACTGAATGTAAGCTTGCCCCAGTGTCCCTGCAATGCCAACTGATGCGAGGTCACTGCATCAGGTGTGGCCAGCGCATCTTGTAAGGAAGCGAACGCCGTTTCGTCGAAGATTGGGGCGTTGATCGGTGAGACTTTGTGATTGTATTGGGGGGAACATGTAATTGATAACTGCACTTTAACAGTTCTTCGGTACATTCTTCGATCCGGATTCCGTCAGCTATCTTTGACACTTGCTATGTAGGAGCATCCTTGGAGTACATATCGATCCCGACGAGATACCGGCGCAGTTTACCGAGGCATCTCACGAGACGGTGGTTGAAGCAACCGCGGTGGCTGCTGTGGAGGGCATCGAGATAGAGAAGGACTGTTGATGATCCATCCATAAAGTACGTCCATTGCATAGATGTATGTGCGTGGTACTACTGCTCTATTAACGAACAATCACTTCAGTGGATCGAAGTCACCCCAGTCGTCTGCACTCGGCTTTTTGACAGAGCCGGAGCCCCAGGAGGCAGGCTTAGAAGGCGTCAATAAGCTGTTCATGTTCATGGGAGGTGGTGATGCGACCAGAGGCGGCGACGACATCGGGGGTGGTGAAGCTACCATAGGTAGTGCTCCCATTGACATCATACCCCCGGTTGGTTGTGAGGGTTGCAACGCGATGTTGTAGTTGGGTCCAGGCATGGAGGGTGGGGTGGGTGCAGGTGCAGGCGCCACGGAGAAGTTTGGAGTCGTCGCCAAGGTTACATTATAATTTGGCTTTGACGGCGCTAGTGGCTGGCTGAACCCGCCGGTATTCGTCGGTTGAAGTGGTTGGATCCTGGGGATGGGAGGACTCGAGACTGCGTGCACAGAAGGTGAAGTTATCGAGCTGGAGGATAGCGAAGTAGAGGAGATCGGCCGGGCTCCTAGCTTTCCATGTGGTCGAGCGGGTATGGAACGCGCTCCGAGAGAAGCGCCGGATCCCGATGGTCCCGGTGACGAAGGAGTGGATTGTGTTTGCATGGGTGGCAGAATGGCGGAACCCTGGACCTGGGGAGTCTGCGAAAATACGTGAGACGACGAGCAGAATTATACTAGAATCGCTACTTACATCAGCGCCGCTGGAGAATATACTGCCCCAAACGTCGTCCTCCCAACTCGGCGCGTTCGACGACGGCCCTGGAGATGACACCAAGCCATCGGCCTTGATCGGCGTGTTGCCGGCGCTGCTAACGAGACTTGCAAAATCGAGCGCCCCCGCATGTCCATTCACGGGGGTGCCGTTCGAGGACGTGCTCGCGGTGGAATGATCCTCAGTGCGTTGCGAGTCTCGCAGGAACTGGATATGCTCCTTCTCCACGCGGTCACCGAGTTTACGGATGACGGCCATGAAGCGCTGAAATTGCGGCAGGCTGAGCACTACGTATCGTGTCATAAATATCAGAAGATGGCGTCAGATGTTGAAAGTGGTTACGGCTTACAAGGTCCCATAGACATCGCCCACCTTATGAAGGGCAGCGTTAGCTTGTCGGTACTATTCAGAAATGGTCCAACTTACAGTTGAGGTAGCACCAAGGTGGCCACGGCTTCCCGATCGACCTTGAGACCCATAGCTTCCTGAACAGACAGTGTCGCCGTCTGCGTAATCCATCAATATGGGCTGCTACACAATAAACTCCCAATGCGCACCATAACTGCCGGTTCCTTGGTCCTGATCTTGGACAACAAAGGCACCAGTTTCTGCGTCAAGCTTGTCTACAGTACGACCTTATCAGCATAGCTCCCCATCGCCTCCTCCGAGAGGCACACCGACCTGGTCGAGGGTCTTCACCATACTGAGGAAAGTGTTTAACGTGGCCACTTTGACGGAGAGCACGCGCGTTTTGGTGAAGACGAGTGCGACGCGAGGGAACAGAACACCTTGCACCTCCGCATAGTCGATCGTCTCACATAGGTCCGGGACCACCTTGAGCGCTCGTTCTTGCACCTATTCACGTCATTGGATTACCGCCCAGGTGAAGGCGAGAAACAATCAACGTACGATGGCGTGCTCGGATTCGAGAGCATTGTACACCAGAGGGAGTACATCTGTGCACGTGTGTTATTCCCTCTTGCAACTTCAAAAAAAGTGCATTCAGTCGCTCACGTTCGCGGAAGGCAGCCTTGTCGGTCTTCGCCTGAAGCAGAGAAAGATTGTCCAGAAGCGTGAGCATGTTCTGTGGCGGCTCCTTGATTGCGAAGAGCGGCTTCAGACTGGGAAGCACGGTGGTCGCAAATTGCGTCGGAGTCAGGTCTGACGAGATCGCAAACACGTTCGGGAGGATATACGGAAGGAGATGGGTGTCTTTCATCTGCAAGATCGGGTCTTTGTCAACGGCATACTATGCACCGAAGATGCGCTGCACACACACACCTCTTCGACCAAAGAGGGCAGTATCTTGCGGACACGCAAGCCTTCGGAAAACTTGTCGAGCACGCTAGTTAAGCCCTTCATGAACGAGACCTTCTCTTCGCGTGACTTGGTGGCAAAGTTGGACCGGTCGAGGAAATTGAGGGTGGAGATGGGGAGGGAGGAGAAGAACGAATGCGAGGGGAGACTCGATGGCGAGGGGCGGGGTGGACGGCGGGTGATGAGGGAGGCGAGCAATCCTGACAAACTAAATAGGTATTTTTTAGGGCAAACAATGTAGGTAGTAGCCACCTTGGAGATCGGGATCGAGCCTTTCGATACCGGGTATGGGTCTAGAGGAGCCCGCGGTGTCGCGTAGGCCGCTGAGGCTTCCGTGCGTCTTGTATGGCGGAGAGCCCTTGGAGTGTACGGCAAAGATGAGGCAGCCGAGGGAGTACATGTCGGAATCGGTAGAGAGGACTTCGTCCAACGCGTATTCTGGAGCTGGGTAATGTCGGCATCACAGACTACGGCGTGGGTAAGTGCGGATGAAACGGCTTACCCATATAATCGAATGAGCGTTGGATATAGGACGGTACTCGACCGTCGAAGGTGGGAAACTCCCATCTTGTCGCGTTGCCATCCGGACTCGTCAGCGGTATCGTCAAGCCCAATCCGCCAATTTTCCAATCGCCCTGTGAACTTTTCGTACAGCAAACCGCTAGATAGTGTTGCATGAGCACGCACAGAATTATTGATGAGTATGCTCTCTGGGGAAATGTTGGAATGTATGAGCCGCGCCGAGGTATGCAGGAAGGATAGGCCCTTGCAGAGTTGCAAGATGCCTTTCTGGATCTGTGGTCGTCGTTAGAACACTATACGATGAAAGTGCGTCGGATTTGCCGACGACTTGCCTCTACTTCGTCAAGATCCACGAGAGACGAGCGATACGCTCCGGGTATAGATAGATGAAGGGATGATATCACGGGTTCCGTCGCGAAAACGAGCTCATTACGAGTTTCTTCGAGCGGCTCGACCATCTCTTGAAGAAAATACGTGATAGGTCTGCTTTCAGCAGGAAAACGTGTTGCACAAGTTAGGATTGCGTACCTAGCACACAAGGATGCCGCATCCTCCCAAGTGCTTGCGCCTACGTTATAACGTGTTATTACCCGATACGCGTTATGGAAACCATCTCGACGCTACCTCGGTCTTCAGCACCTCCAGAACACGATCCTTAGCAGACGGGCTCAGCTTCTCCATCTCCTGGCTCCGCTTGTCGAACGACCATACGGACACGCGCTTGTTCGTTGTCTTGTGCGCAGCCGCCTGCACCTTCCACGGCCCGACATTAAACGTAGGTGCATTTGTGACCACAGGCAGTGGTGTAGTCGTTACAGATCCCGTGCCCGAACTTGATGGACCAGGAGTAGAGGATCTGGAAGAGACGTTGATGGATGGCCCCCCGATATTATAGGACGCGGAAATGTTCGTCCGACCGAAGAAGGAGGTCGCAGCGGCCAACATGATAGCTCACGGGTAGTCTCTGTCCTTCTGCCTTTTCTGCTACCAAGTGAAGCTGGATTATGTCTGAATGACGGGACCGGGTTGAAAGGCCAGGCTAATAGCGGCGAGCGCTACCATACAGTGGCTGTGCATATGTCGCTGCGACTCCGCTGCGGCGCGGATCCGAGTCTCAGTCGGTGCTCAGCTTCTGGTGTATGCTACGGCCTCAGGCTCCTCGTGAACCTCGCGAGGCTCTGAACCCCATACCGGTGATTCTGTGGGTTAGAATTTCAGCTTCTCATAAACACGCTACATACCCGTGCGGCGCGTACGTCGTGCACAACGTCTTTCATTCACTCATTCACTCTCTCTCTCGTGAATCGACGCTTCAAGCGTAGACGTGAAGTCAGCAATGGCTATGGAGAACAGTGGCCTGGGAGACACTGTGGCTATAGAGCAAGCTGACCATAGGTAAGTAGTGTTGGCACCGTATCCGGAATTCGGCAGCGGTGGATACTCATTTATACTACAGACTCTTGGTTTTTCACGACGTAAATGAACATACATCACTAGACAATGATCTTGACAAGATACGACTACTACTCGACCAGGAAATTGAAGCCTTGCTTGCTCGGGTACACCACCTTCGTGAACGGCGCAACAACCTCGCACCCATCTCCCGGCTTCCCCCGGAAATCCTCTCCACCATCTTCCGATACAGCATGATCAACCTCCGAAGACCCTTCCCTTCGAGCCACTCATTCTCACACGTGTGTCAGCGATTCAGGGATGTCGCGCTCGACTGTGCTGGACTATGGACACTTCTCCCTCGTACCACCGAGTGGCTCACTGAGTTGTTTTTGTCTCGGGCGAAAATGCACGTGTTGTATTGTTCAGACTCAAAACGCCTCGCATTACCGATATTTCAGTCCGCAGTGGCCTCGCTCGGCCATTTATCGCGTGTCCGGGAAATCAAGTTGGATCACAGCTTGAGCCACAGAAACTTGGTCGATCATCTCTCGTCCCCTGCGCCACAACTCGTCTCGTGCTCGCTGAAGTACTCGGACCAGCGCCTCGAACTCCTGACGAACTTCTTAGGATTATATGCGCCTCAACTCCGTCAACTGAGTCTCACCCGCTTAATCTTCAAGTGGGCTATGCTACCCTGCCAATCCTTGGTTCGAAACTTGACGGACCTTCAATTAAGACGTTTGGTTCCCAACACTACTTTCCCAACGGGACCCCAGCTGGCCGATGCCGTCCGATCGATGCCTTCGCTTCAGAAACTTGTGGTGGTGCAGTCCGACCATGCAGACTACAACGATGACTGGCGTCCGGCTTCTGCAGAACCTCCTTGTGATGTTGTTGTGTTGCACCGATTGACGAGCCTGGAATTGTATGGCTCGACGAACCGAGTCTGGAACGTGCTGCAATATATACGTGCTCCATCCTTGGTCAAGATATCATTGGGCTCCCGATTCTGCGGCACAGAGTCACCGGACCCGCCACCCTTGACCGACCTTCTTCATGATCAACAGACATGTCGGGAAGATGGCCCCCCTGCCTTTTGGCTCGTCGTGCCCTGGAATGACCCCGAATGCGTCGAATACGACCTCATAGCGTATTCGGACCGTACCAACGAGTGCAACGAACTGGACGAGCGACTGCTCGACCTTGAAGTGTTGCGTTCTCCTGGTCAGATCCTCCCACAGGCTATCATTGACGAGATCCTACTCGACCAGCTTCACACCGCCTTGACGTACCTCCCATAGCCTAGCGATTGGGAAGCATCTTGGCCAGACTCCGTTCAAATCGTTTTTGATTGTCTATCGGCCATATGTCCGACAGAGTGATGTCCACAGCCTCGATATGGCCGAGTTGCATACTTCGAACAATTAGACCCGCCACGAGACGGGATGCGCTCAAGTGGAACAACGGCTCACCGCCTGGTGCAGCTTTGAGCCTGAATCTATCATATTCGAACCGAGTACTGAGGCAGGGTACAACACGGAGAGGTCCGTTGTCCCGGCACAAATGATGACCTTGGAAGAGTGCCTGAAGAGGAGGCATAATCGACGAGCTTTCTTTCTCGCGGAAGAAAAGAGATATATCGACCAGGGCAGGGCACCGTATATGAGACAGCGAGGAACGGATTCGCTTGCTTCGCCCAAGAAATTTTGCAGTATTCAGATGGCTCATTACAACGATGTCAGACACCGGTGCATCCATAGGATTCGAGCCAGTCCGCGAGGAGAAGCGGGCTTTAGTGATGACAAGTTTCCGCAACATGGGCATATGTCGAAGAGCCATCTGTAATTGTGACCCATGAGGAAAGCATTTTGAGGGAATGTCGCGCAGTTCGAGGACTGTCAAAACAGAGAGGGATGACACAGAGTGCTCCAGTCGAATGTCACCATGCAGAGTATCAGGTGGCGGAGTCGAGGCGCTCACAGACCCAGAAAATCGACCGGGAGCATCAGGAAAAACCGGATTTGCTAAAAACCTCCTAAAACGTACTAAAACGTGCTCATTTAGTAGCTTTAGAGGGTTCCGGTGCCCAATAAGTGACTCTTTCGATAGTCCGATTTTTCCTGATGAGACGCATCATGGAGCGGATCGAACATGTAGCAAGCTGCAAAGCAGCGGAAGACAGGTGCTTGAATTTGTACTGGTAATTGGTGGGATTGTCTAAGTGAAGACTTTGGATGTGGGATAGATGGGAGAGGGCGACTTGTGACGAGGCTAAGGGTGCTTGCTTCCTTCGCTTGGGCGAATCTGAAAACCGTAATGGATGCATTTTCGACGGCGCTACTGCGAAGATTTCATAGACGAATAGTGCATGCGGCTCATGCATGGTCATATTCAATTGACGCGGACGAGCGCTTCACGCGAAAACTCGGAATACAATATGATTGGACGTGGGTCAATACGTCTACCGGAATGGATCTGCGTCCTGACTACAAGATACGTACATGAGTCCTTCGTCCGGATCCCAGGCCACCATGGCATCATCATCAATCCTCCAGGCCTTCCATGCCTCCGTTTGTTGTCCTGAGCTATTCCGTAGATACACCGAAGTCTTTTCCTCCAAGTCGTCGTACCTCCGGATCACCAGTTGCGCGCAATGTTGCAGGATGTTGTCCGTGAGCGGCCGACCGTTCAGGCCCACGATGATCCGAACCAGGGCCGTACTCTCACAACTACTGGTCTCCATTTTACATGTGGTCCATCCAGCCCGTATTGAATTTCCTCGGGGCGGTGTTCGCGATCCCGGCGTTGGAGCGGATGAGCATATACGTGAAAGACAATCGCGATCCAGTTCAGGACCGCATCCACACCTTTCTCCAGCATTGCGCAGACTTCACTGTCCAGAGGTACAGGAGGACGGGATCCGCAGTGAAGATCAATTTCAAGTCCAAAGCACCGAGGGACTACAGGCTAGTTCGAGATGGACCCCGGACGATGCTACGCCGATAGCATGGGATGTAGCTACCATGTCCTTGTTGCGAGGGAGCGTCGGAGGACCAGAACCGAGATGACACATCTGTCTGTAATTCGAGGAGGCCAAGTCGAACCAGAATAGCTCAACGTCATGGCGTTTCCCGTGCGACGATGAGTATGAGGACGACCATGGCTTCGATATATAAATCCTAGTCTTGTGTTCGATACACTAGCCATGGAGCCGTATTGTGATCTGTATGCGTCGAAACCAGTGTACTGACTCGTGACGTCTGGTAATATCTGAGGGCCAAAACCGGGCTGGCAGTGTGCCTTGTTTGCAAGGAGGCCCATAAGTGGTCGATGATGGGGAACGAGGCATCGAAGGCTCTTCCCACTTGACTATATATCATCCCTCGTCTTGTATACAGTCTCGCTTGGTCGAAATATCATACCGCGGCGTCGGCTGCGCACTTCTGGCTCCAGGCCCATTCTGCTGTATACTGTAGTTTTACGACCTTATGTTCGTCCCCTGTCCCCATGGCTTCATGAACTGAACCTAAAATGACAGGTTGTCCCCTGTCCCCCTCACCTGCCGGACGTCCGTAACTAATTGTGGGAAAATGATGCTTTGACTGTGGAAAACACAAATGTGATGTATATCACTTCAGGACCAACGGGCGGGTCAAAATGAACTTCCCACGGATAGTTGAACTAACGTGTCCCTGTCCCCCTTCTACAAACCTGAACATAAGGTCGTAAAACTACAGTACTACCGGTTCACGCTGTTCGGGCCTCTGCGGGGGCTACAGTATATGCAGATGTATGAACTGGCAACACAGGCGACAAGATAAGAACGATACGACGCACGAGCGCCCGAGGACACTCATCGCTTGGAGCGTATCTTGGCACGTTTGGTTGGTCTTCGCTCCTGCACCTCAGGCTCACTTTCGCTCGAGTCGTCATCGCTCTCGTCTCCGTGAGTATCTTCATCCTCGCTGATAACCTCGTCATCGTCCCATCCACCTTCCTCTCCATGACCTCCCTGGTCATCCCAGTCCCCTTCCGTATCGTCATCGCCCCGATCCGACTGCGCGCCTTCGTCTTCGTCTTCATCCCCTTCGTTCCCTACGCTACGCTCTGGCCTCTGCTTCTTCTCCCCCGCGAGGGTCTTCTTCTTCTCCACGTTTCGTTCCTGCTCTTCCCTGCGCTGCTTCCTCAGCCGCTCCTTCTCGGCGTGCTCCTTTTTCTGCGCCAATATCTCCGCCTTAGTCTTTTTAACTAAGCAGCGATCGTCAGCATTCGGTCCCTCAGAGAGATGCACCGAAAACGTTACACACCAAATTCGTGATATATGACTGCGCCCTCCTTGCCCGGCACGCCCTCGGCAATTTTCACCAGCCGGAGCTCCATTCGGGGTCCGATCTCGTCCAACCGCACGGCACGCCGCTGCCCGCGCGAGTTGTTCCGTCCAACGTAATCGTCCGCGAGGCTGACCGCCGCGTCCGGCTCGTCGCCCGCGGCCGAGCTCGCGTCACTCGTCGCGCTCTCGTACCCGGCCTCCGTCCGGCGCAGCACGAAATCTGCGATGTCCTTCTCGCTCCCGAGGTCGAGCACCTGCGCCTCCGACGCCGACTTGCCCTTGGGGCCCTCGAGGATCTTGCGCACGCGGCGCGAGACGCCGAGGGGCTTGACGGTGATGAGGTAGTGCCGAAAGTCGAGCGTGCCGCGCTCAGCGTTGTACGAGACGAGTACTACACGCCGCGCAGAGGACAGCTTGAGTTCTTTTGGGGAAAGGGGCGGGAAGAGCGATTGGAAAGTTTTCATGAGGAGAGGGAGGTGCGGCGGTACGCCTGGGCCGGGTTGGGGGAACGAGGCGAGAACGAGCTGTACACAGACGCGTGCATGAGAATATTAGGTCTGGCGTAGTTTCCTGGAGTAAATGCGGGGTTCAAGACTGACCAAGGGCGGCGTAAGGTACTCCATGCCGACGCTCTTCGCGTGTTTCCGTGCGCCGAGAATGTCCTTGACGAGACTGTATCGCTCGACCCTGAAACTGAGCGTTGGACCATTCGAAAGACGGATTATGCGCATGGATGGCGCGACGTCGGTGAGCGTGAACGCTAGAAGATGCGTGACATGGAGCGGAGGGGCCATTGTGAGGAAATCGCGGAGTTTGTTCCGAGCGCGTTCCTTCACTTGCAAAGCTATGTCAGTATGAAGGCTTCCACAATGTTGCTCGCTCGCAGCCACGGATACAGCCAACGTGATGGCGTGATGGATGGAACCACGGTCTAAGAAGAGGAAGATGCCGGCGGTAGCAACGAATGAGATATACATTCCGGTATTTCAGAAGTTGCGGAAGGTCGTGGTGTCCTTCTGAAGGTAGTCCAAGGTACGAAAGTACTGACCCTTAATCGACTCGCTGTGTTGGGTTCCATCACCCTCCTGACGTCCCTAACGAGTTGAGCGAGCGAGCGTCCGACTTGGCCATGTTTTATCACGAAGGATTTGGGGGTATTCGCGTCCGATCCAAGCGCCTGGTTTGCCGTGCCGCCTTTGAGATGCGTCCTGTGTTTGCGCTTGCGAGCCATTCTCCGTTGACGGTTTGGGAGCCGCTGAAACTTGGTCAAGGCTCCAGAAGCAAGAAATTGAGAGAGTGTCACGTGCGCTGGGACTGTACTCTACATACTGCGAACCACAACTTACGATACAGCTAAATTCAATACGATAGACCACTCGACGGTCTATCGTAATGAATTTAGCTGTAAGTATTTTCCAATACACTTCCAGATGGCAAGACACGACGCTATCATCAGGCATCCAGCCGTTAGTGGGTTCCATGGAACGAGATGTAGCCTAACCCTTGCATGATGGAGGTCGTTCACAGCGAAGGATCCCTTCACCGGGCTGGTGGCACTCGCTGATATCGAAAGTATGATAGCGAGTCACTCAGTCATTAATCAGCCTTACACTTCCGGTTAACCGGTTAATGTATGACAAGAAAAAAAATTCATTGGAGGCTATGCGATAAAAGAACAACACCATTACTCGAAAACTGACGGCCAAACCAATCACGTTCTAAAAATGCAGGGGCAGCTCGCTTTGTATACAGGAGCCGGCGTCGATAAGGGATTTATAGTACAGTGTCCTCGCCACACCTGGATCTGCCGATTCTCCCGCTTCTCACTCCATGCGGTGACCCGGTGAAGGGTTGTTCCATCGTTCATTGGTCGCGGCACGAAGCTCCTCGAGAGTGTAAGTCTGATCATGATGTTTCATCACTGTTATTGGACTGTCATCGAATGCCACATGTGATAGTAAGAGACTCATACTATGGCTCCTGAGCTCACTCCACCTCGTCGGCGGGAACGTTCTCTTGCAATCCATAAATGTGCACGGCAAACAGGCATAACCACTATGCTTGTCCAACCAATGTCTGTTGTACTCCTTGCGGTGCATATAGACCGACCCGCAGACCTGGCACCGTACGCCTGGGTGGCCGTTCTGCAGGAGATCAACCGCCGCCCTGGGAGGAGTGATGGCTGCACGTCTATGTATAATTTGAGGCTGGGTCCGGATTCGGGATTCACTGTAGTACTAACCTGCCGGGATAGAATTCCTGCCTCAAGACTGCGGGCGGTTCCGCGACAGGCAATAGGTCCATTCCATGCGGGGTAGAGATCACGTACCTGATTGTTGTGAATATCATATTAAACACAATCCAGACCTGATTCACTCACTCATCCTCGCCTCCATAAGTCATGGCGCAACGTGAATACATTCCTGAGACCGGCTGACTTGGAGAAGCTGTGGCAGACTCGCTACTTCACGTGTCAGGATGCACCACTATCTTGACGGATTGTGTACGGACCGAACGCGACGTTGCAATATCGGAGAAACACCTGCGACCAGAGGTGCAGCGGATCCAGGAGAATGAGTATCCGTATATCTAAGAAGTGCACTCAGCAATAAATTCAAAGCTATAAGTCTATTGAGTTGGTTGCACACCCGTGTGCCATGCTGAATGAGTGGGCAAGATCGTCGGAGAAACTGCATATCTCGTTTAGCAAAATCTCTTCGGCAGCGAGTACGGCAGAAAGATGTATTTTTACACGTTAAACTCGCTTGTCAGTGCGTAAATATTGGTTGAGGCTTGTGGATTGATGTAGGAGACACTATTCCGGGTGCTATATATTGAGATCACTAGGCGGATCTTGGATGACGGGAATGGGACTGAATGCACTCACGGGGGCGAATCCACCATCTGTCCGGTAGGGATGGACATCGTTGCAGTGGGGGATGAGAGGACACACGACCCAGTTTGGTTTAATTCCTCCATCTGTTCGTTTGAGGTCGGGATAGTGCTAAAGCATAGATGAGCGTAGACTAGACTAGGCAAGTACCAGGTTCTTACGAGGTGACTCCAGCTCCAAATATGTTATATTCATTTTGGATTTCAATGAAGCTTTCGTCATAGTAACTACAATTTTGTACGGGACTGAGGCGGCTAACAGAACAAATCATCAACGAAATTCATCGCAACAAGTTGCAAAGTGTCCGTACCTGTCCCGGTTGTTCCGAAGTTGTCAAGTTAAGTGACGCATCAAAATCGTTGTACAAGGTGTCAGTTAAGGGAAATATATATATATTGGACACAGACGTCATTTAAACGTTGCCAACGTTGCAGAATCCTGGGTAGGCCTTGCAACTCTGGAACCTGGAAGTTGCGACCCGGAGTTTCCGAGCTGCAGACCATGGTTTCCTGTTCGCACTTATATAGTGATCAATGGCTCTCTCTCGGAGGAGAGCACAGGCGTAGCGTTCTACTCGGGATTGACAGGAATGGCAATTTCGCGCTAGTGACAGGGATGGATATGAAGCGCTCGACAGGAATGGCAATTTCGCGCTCGACGGATCGAGATCTAGAAAGGCGCAGGCGTAGGGTGGTGCAAACACAGCTTACAGCTGACCTCATGACGATAGGGCTCTAGTAGATCGTTCTAGGTTCTTCCCCTGAAGCGGAAGAAGTGGCAACCGTGAGCAAAGCTGGCGCGAGTGATCTACTATCGTGAGACCACTAATGCAATATGGACCACTGATGAAATCTTTGGATTCAGTCCACTGCCGTAGCTCATCGGCTCATTTTTACGCTCCCAGGAATAATCAGCAGCACCACATTCACCTATATAATCCACACACCAAAGCGCAAGGTGAATGCTCCTGTGCGAGAAGCTACAGAATAGTCCTCACACGTCAGGTCGCGTTGACTCTACAGTCTCGCTTCGGGGGATCGAGCTACCAAAAAACACGAAAATATTTCTGGAGATTTTTTAGCATCTCTCGAACTTATATATTGAGCCCGATACACATTTTGCATCTTCTATACGGGGCCATATGTACATTCTCGGCCGGTCTGGCGATCAGTGTCCCCATTGGATGGATCAGGGTTCTCACCAAAGCATACCCACGGGCCATGGCTGTTGAGGGCACGAGCGAGGTACGAGCTCTGGCCTTCCAGAAGACAAGCCATGTAGCCCGGGCGAGAAAGGCTGAGCCCGGCACATCGTGCAGCTCATCTTTTCTCGCCACCCACGTCAATTTTCGTGTCTCCCCCCCTTCCCGCCCTACGGCGGTACGGTGTTCGCACCGTTTGATCCAGTTCCCATGAAATTTCTTACAAGTGGTGCGCAGGTTCACCGTGCGTGGGGTTGGACGTGCCCACCCGCGCGGTGGCTCTCTCCCACATGAAAGCGCCAGGTGTCCCGGCAGCTTACCTTCGCTTGAGCAGAGCTACCCTTGTGCATATGCGATATCACTATAGTACTATCAGGTCGACGGTAACAAATGTGCATGCGGAAAGATTACGAAAAAGACTGATAACTTAGAGATGGGCAGCCATGAGAATAGTGAGCGTGAGACGCGCAGCATCGTCGCAACGGCCCCTGTTCACAAATGCCCATCTATGGATTCCGGGCGAGAAGGAGCGACTGTGAGTCCGGGATTTAAATTCTCGAATCCCAGGCTCGCGAACTCCGAAAGCGCCGCATTTGGAATCCACCGGGATCCCATGGGATCCGCACAGCCCGTTGGATCTTCGATTCCGCGGTGGAGCGTGTACCGGTCCATGAAGGCATGAAGAGACTTTTTTGTATTGACTATCGATATGCAAACCGCTGTAACATCTTTGAGGCGTGCATTCCGGAGCCACTCCAGTCTCCTGTACAAGCAAACATGCTTCCAGGCGCTGAATGCTGCATCCAGCGCTGATCGCAAAGAGGCCCGATGCGGAATTGAATGAAGACCGTCGTTCACATGTCGTGCCCGAAATAGCAACGTGCTCCTTTCTTGGCGGCACCCGCGTGGTGGCCTTGCACGCCTGAGCGCTGACGCCCTTAGGACCACCGCGGTCATCCACGCGAGTGCGCTCAGTTGGGATTTCGAATTTGCCTCCGCCGCGAGGCTGTTTACCGCGACCCGTGCCCGTATCCGTTCTCTGTCTAGATGTTACAATCCGTTCCGATTTCCACCTCCCGCACCGGAAAAGCGGGAGCGACACGTGCTAAACCCCGGGGATGCTCTGATCTAACATTCGCGTGATATAAAGGCAAGAACAGACGAAAGCGGTGCACTAAAACATGGAAAAAGAAAGAGGAAGCCTGGTAGAAGAAGAATGTCCAAACAATTGAGGTCATGTCCGCCCGATGTGGAAAACAAGCCGACGCGTTGATGGGACGGAACGACGCGAGTGCGGGTAAGGTAGTAGTCGTACAGCGAGTATCTTCGGTTCTGGGCATCGGGAGGGGGGCCATGGTTGCCCTGCGAGCCCCGGGGCTCACAGCGCACGCTTTAGACGAAGCCGCGGCCACCGCGCTTGGCGTCGATCCTCTTGAAGCGTTCCTCCTCGTCCCTCTGTCGACGAGCGTCAATGAATGAGTATCGGGAGAACGCTTTGAGCGCGAGACGCACCTTCTTGATCACGCACAACGACGCGAGGAAGAGGCCGATGACGATCGCCATGAATCCGTATATGGTCGAGAACGTGTTGTTCAGCGACACGTCCGCGAACGCGGTGATGGGGCCGACGCAGAAGTTTCCGGTGGCGTTGTTCGTGACGGTGACGAACGTCTCGTTCGCGCAAAAGTTGCCGCCGACGACGGCGAGGTCGGTGCTGTTGAAGTAGCCGCAGCACTTGAGGTGGTCCTGGATCTTGATCTTCGTCGCGTCCGGCTGCTCCGAGAAGATCTTGTGGAAGTTGGCGCGCTCGCGGAGGGTGAAGAACCAGATGAAGGAGCCGATGACGCCGACGACGATGGCGTCGCCGATGAGGATCCAGTTGAGGATGACGAGCCCGATCGTGACGTGGTTCTTCTGGATGATGGCGCCGACGGAGAAGACGAAGGTGAACAACAGGAAGCTGCCGAGGACCAGGCCGGCTATACGAGGGGGAAAGGCGTTGAGATGGGGTGATCGGAATCGGGCGTGGGTGGAGAGGTAAAAAGGGGGGGAAAGGATGGCAAATGGAAGGCGTAGCGAGCATGAGAAGGATTATTTGATGAGTGGACTTACCCGTGAGGTCGGCCTTGCTGAAGACGAGGTTGAGCATCAGGTTGCTCTGGCCCCAGACGATCGAGAAGACGATGGAGATGACTCCCGCAACGAGGAGGCAGAAGTCAAGGAACGCGAACGCTCCCATCAACTGTTTGGACGGCATGTTGGATGAACGGTCGGGCGGTGTGACCTATAGCCACCGCAGACGGGGCGGTTTGAGCTGGTTCGAAGTTGAGGTTATCAGCTCTGGGACAGGACGCACGATGGACAGGCGGGGGTGGCTAGCAGCCTGGCGGTGTCAGGTGAACTCGGGTGGAGGTTTGCGGGCTCTCCCAGAGAGTGGTTGCGATGACAGAGCAGGGCTGGTGGCCGCAGGCCAAGTAGGGGAGGAGAGGTGCAGAAAGCTTTGGAAAAAAGAATTGAAAGAAAGAAAGTCGGCGATCGACGCCTAGCTTGGCCTGCTGGAGGAACGAAGACGAAAAGGATATTAGCCCGGGGGTGAGGGAGGCACGAGAGGGGGCCCGCTGGGGGGACGTACCAAATGTAAGGAGGGAGAGATGATGGAGAACGGGTGCGGTGCTGATGGACGTGTTTTGGGTCACCGTCCGTGTTCGGTCACCATGGAGAATTCGGTGGCCGCTCGCGCGTCGGGGCCTGCCGAGGCTCGGGCCGGCCTCCTTCCAAGACGACGCGCGCCCAATTGCAGTGTGATCCACTGCGAATGCGTATTCTCATCCACGGCACGATCAGAATAGCGACTAACATTGTGTGCGAAAGACAATATCGAGGGCACCAGCAAAGCGATCACAATGCGTAGTAGCGTTGACTGGGAACTCTGTCCGAGGACGTCGCGACAAAAGCGCCCAGGACACACCTTGCTACACCCCGGTATTGTCGCTTGGATGATCCCAGGCCCGGAAGCGGAAGCACTTTTGACGCCGTGAGTTTTCGTCTCATTTCGTCCTTCGTCCAGCCCACTCGTCACTCGGGATGGAGGACTCTGAACGACTCGCCGGCGGCTCCCTGCTGCTCGCCTGGCAGCTCAAGAACAAGAACGTCCTCATCGTCGGCGGCGGCGCCGTCGCCTCCGGCCGCATCGAGTCCGTCCTCGTCGCCGACGCGCACATCACCCTCGTCTCCCCCTCCTCCGGCCTGCACCCCCTCACCCTCTCCCACCTCCAATCCTACCCGGACCGCATCACCCACCTCGACCGCGACTACGCCGCGCACGCCGACCTCGACGGCGCCGACATGGTCCTCACCGCGCTCGACGACCCGGACCTGAGCCAGCAGATCGCGGCCGAGTGCCGCGCGCGGCGGACGCCCGTGAACGCGGCGGACCTGCCCGCCAGCTGCGACTTCTACTTCGGCTCGCAGATCCGGGACGGCCCGTTGCAGATCATGATCTCCACCAACGGGCGCTCGCCCAAGCTCGCCAACCTCGTCCGCCGCCGGATCGAGGCCGCCGTGCCCGCGCACGCCGGGGACGCCATCGAGCGCGTCGGCGTCCTGCGCGAGCGGCTGAAGGAGCGCGCGCCGGGCGTGGGCGGGTCCGTCGGAAGGCGGCGGATGCGGTGGATGATCGACGTGTGCAACGAGTGGGAGATGGACGAGCTTGCGGGGCTTGACGACGAGATGATCGCGAGGCTGCTCGACGACGGATGGGAGAAGGAGCGCGTGCCGAAGCCCGAGGAAGTCGGGGCGGTGTCTAAGAAGGCGACGACGGCCAGTACGACCGGCTCCGGGTTGGCGAACGTTTGGGCGCCCTCCGCTCTCAGCTTCGTGCTCGGTGCGGCTAGCGCGGCAGCGATCTTCCGGCTGTACGCTCGGAGCCGCTGAAGGGAATCCATTCCATCGGGCCTTCATCCACTGCAAAATAGACTATATCGGACGGGTATATGCATGCTACACAATCTCTAGACCCTAGACGATCGCTTTGACAACCCTTGTACAGTCTTGCATACGCAAATCTATCATCCATTTGACAACCACGATGGTTTCCCATATCCATCCCGAGAGTTATTCGTTCTCCGATTCTTATTCTTCGGGACCAGCGCGAAGCGAATTGAATGCGGGCGCATCGCCTTTCTCCGCGGAATTTCCCAGCACTACGAAGACGGAAGATAGAAGGGATGTAAAGTCTCGAGTTCGAGGGTGCCATTGGTATGAATCGAGCTATGAGCGTCAACGCAAGAACTCATGAAGATCGAGGTGAGTATGGAACGTCCCCCTCACCTTATACATTGTATACTGATTCACTCACTAGGCATACGCGATGGCGAGTACGGCGGCACACTGTGTCGAGTGCTACGCCAGTAACAGTGGCCTCGCCTGTCCCCGATATCCAGAAGTTACCGATGTGCCCCCTCAAGAGGAAACGGATCGCGTACGGTATTTCCATTTTAGGCGGCGCCGCAGGTCACCTGACCGAGACGCGACGCGAACTGACGCGAAGTTCAAGCTCAGCAACTGGACCTTTCTCCTTTCGCCCCATTCCGCGCGGATAAACACACCGTTCGTTCTTAAGTCCAACCGCTATGCATATCTCCTCTCCTCAGACGTTGTCTTCCAACCTCGACGAGCCTCACGGTCTTTACCTCCGACGCCACTCGCGCTCGACCTACACTCGTTCTACCACATCACTACGAAGACGATGTCTCTCTCTGCCGCCTTAACGTCTTTTGGCCTCCGTGCCAAGACCTTATTTAAGACCGTCTGCTGCCTCGTGTCTCCGATGGACGACGTCGAGGAGCAAGACCAGGTTGAAGGCCCCATCGCCCCTACGTCTGTCATCACGACTCAAACCTACTGCCCGCCCGTCATGGCGGAGCACGTGTCCCTCAGGGCAACGGTCAAGGCCGCCGTCGAGGCGCGTCCTACTGCCCGTAAGCTGCCCATCATCGAGGTGAGTGTTGCCCACCTTCTCGTGTTCGATCGGTGTTGACGCTGTCATGGCAGGAAGAGAAAGTGTCCTCGACGAGTCCTGTCATTGTAAAGGTGAGCTCTTCTTAGCTCCGCCGAAGTATGTGACGAACTGACAGTCGGCCGCAGGAGGAGAAGGTCAAAGTGGCCACCCAGTCCATCGTAGCTCAGGTACAACCTGAGATCGCCGGCGCCCGCTACGGCGGGCCCTTTTACCAAGATGTTACCGGTGAAAGATATAACGTCGATGTAAGCGCGTTATCACCCATTACTACTAGCACAGTCTGCTGATGGATTCTCTGCGATGCCTACAGGAGGAGGTCAAGAGGGCGTTGAAGCATCTCTCCCTCGCACTCGAACAGCTCAATATAACGAACGGATCAACTGAATCCGAAGAGGCCCGTACCGCGAGGCCCTCGCTCATGCAAGACTCCGACCTCGAACGCCTCGAGGAGGGGTACTACAGCCGCCTGTCGGAGGACATATCCACCGATTCTTCCGCCATCGGCATCATCGACTACGACGACCGGAGCTCTACCTCCAGCCCTCCCACGGCTTCGCCACACGACATGATCTCCAAGCGTCCCTGGTCTATTCCGATAGAAGCGACCTTCCTTGAAATGGACTCGGATGACGAAGACTTTACCGAGGACGTTGAGATCCTCCAAGACATCTACGCCCCGCTCGCCGATAAGCCATTTGACCCTAGCGAAGGCATCCCCTCCATCGAAGTTCTATACAGCACAGCCCGGCCCGCTCCCCTATTCAGGGCATATGAGCAGTCCGAGATCTTCGCTCCCGCATCTCGGGCGTACACTACGATCGCCCCTCAGTCAGCGAAGCCCACCGCGAACATCCCGCGCATGTGGCGCGGCTCCCTTCCTCCCGCTCCTCGCTCCCCGACCGAGCCTACACCAAAGCACGCCCGCGTCTCCCCAAAGCCGTCCCGCACATCGCAACCCCAGCCAGGGCCCCCACCTCGCCCAAAGCGCCAAGACGCGCGCAAGGGCCAACTGCAGAACAAGCACGCGGCTCGCCAGCCTGGCACCTCGAACGCCCGCGAGTCCATCTCCGACAACCCCACCGCCAGCTCCTCCCTTTCCTTCAAAGAGAACGTCTCTAGCTCCTCCCATCGTCGCTCGTCCAAGCCCCGGCCGCGGCAATCCTCGACTCCCGCCGCTACCCGGGAAAACCGGCGCCAACCGTCCTCGTCGAACTCGAACCCGCATCCGTCTCTCATGAAGGCTCCAAGCCACTCCGCGCCACGCAAGTCGCCCCGTTCGAGAAGCGGCGCCCCAAAGATATTTAGGTCCTGAATTCGTCTCGCCTCTCTCTCTCGTACCTGCCTCTATCGAATCTGCCTCTCCATTGACCCATCGAATCTGCCTCTTTATTGAACCTGCCTCTCTATTGACCCTGCCTCGTTAACGTACTCGTTCCCGCCTCCTCGTCTTTTCTCGGTCTTGTCTCGGTCGACTCTCAGTCCGGTTTCCCTTCCCCTTGGGCCGCGCAATATCATCATACAAGTCGCCTCGGAACTGTATCCCTAATCATAGTGAATGCATACAGAATCGTTACAAGCTATTCGACAGAATATAAAACGCATTGGGCATTCGGCAAGCAGGAAACTCCATTTCAAGCAATGGAGCGAGGTGGCAGAATCGAGGCGCACATAAACCCAGTCCGGAATCTGCCTGCATCTGGACGCTCATCAACATCGACCATGTGACAAGATGCATATGAAGAACAGCGGAGGATAGGTATTCGTTTCATACGTTTCATACACATGCGCTGAGTGAGCTCGAAGTGCAAATACTCGAATGAGCATGCCAGATTCATTTTTCTTTGTGCGATAGACGCTATCGCCTTGGTTCAGTATCCTCTATGCATTGTCTGTTGTCACTGAGCAGGACGGCAGGACGGCAGTCCCGCGGTCGTCACATTTGTGACTGAAGACGCGTGCTCTACGCGTCACGATCCTCGGTACGCTTGAACGCGTCCTGCACCATGCCCCGCGAAATAGTCACTGTTCAGCTCGGACAATGCGGCAACCAAAGTACGCCCTCTCAGACAACGATAAACGGCTCAAGAAAAGCATCCTGATCACGCGAATCTCGGCTGTTTTGCGACCGTAAAGTGGGATCGGTGTATTGGCAACGCCTCTGCGCCGAACATGGCATCAACAAAGAAGGCATACTCGAGGAATGGGCAACCGAAGGAGGCGATCGCAAGGACGTATTCTTCTATCAAGCTGACGACGAGCACTATATTCCGCGTGCCATCTTGGTCGATCTTGAACCAAGGGTATGAGACTCCTTTTTGATACCGATGAGCCTGGCTTCAATATTCGCGTTGCATAGGTGATCAACAACATCCTGACCTCGCCATACGCGAATCTGTACAACCCGGAGAACATATTTGTTTCCAAAGACGGCGGTGGTGCTGGTAACAACTGGGCTCAAGGGTTCGCAGCTGGCGAGCGGATATACGAGGAGGTTATGGAGATGATCGATCGGGAAGCTGAAGGCAGTGATTCATTGGAGGTATGTCGTACACCTTTCAATTGACATTTTGATCACTGCCATTTGGACTGATGAAACGCGTTCGTAGGGTTTCATGCTTATGCATTCCATAGCGGGCGGCACGGGGTCTGGTCTCGGATCATTCCTCCTTGAACGATTGAACGACAAGTTCCCGAAGAAGCTCATCCAAACATATTCGGTCTTCCCGAACGCACAGGAGGGCGATGTTGTCGTGCAACCGTACAACTCCCTGCTCACCCTCAAGCGACTGACGAATCATGCGGACTCGGTCGTTGTCCTCGATAACGGCGCACTGGCACGTATAGCTGCGGACCGGCTTCACGTTCAAACGCCATCCTTCGACCAGACTAACCAATTGGTTGGTTTCGTCTTCCTATTACAGTGTCCATAGCTAACCCAGTCCAGGTATCGACGGTCATGGCGGCCAGCACGCAAACGCTCCGATATCCCGGATACATGAACAACGACTTGGTCGGCATCATCGCGTCATTGATACCAACTCCACGATGCCACTTCCTCATGACCTCATACACGCCATTTACAAGCGACCAGATCGACAAGGCGAGACTTCCAGGTCGTGACTATATGCGCCCTGTCTGACCTATGTCCAAATGAAGGCCAAACCTATCCGTCGCACGACTGTCTTGGACGTGATGCGCAGGCTTCTTCAACCCAAGAACCGAATGGTATCGACGTTGCCCAGCAAGACGGCATGCTACATCTCGATCCTCAACATCATCCAGGGAGAGGTTGACCCCACCGATGTGAATGCCATTTCCCCCTAGGGCGTTTTGCTGAGATACAGACAAGCTGACACGTACTCGCCTTTCTCTCAGGTACACCAATCGCTTCTGCGGATACGCGAGCGACAACTGGCAAATTTCATACCTTGGGGCCCGGCGTCCATCCAGGTCGCGCTCACCAGGCGATCTCCCTACGTCGCCACCCAACATCGCGTCAGCGGTCTCATGCTCGCCAACCATACCAGCATCGCATCCGTGCGTCGGCTTCGTCATCCCTCAGCCCTACGCCGTTCACCTAACCGCTATTCATTCGCAGCTATTCAAGCGAATGCTCGACCAATACGATAGGCTCCGGAAGCGGAACGCCTTCTTGGAGCAGTACAAGAAGGAGAAGATGTTCGAGAACGGACTGGACGAATTCGACGATGCTCGGTCAGTTCGGTTGGTTTTTTTTTCCCTGGTGCACACTGGCTGATTGCCCTCTCAGGGCAACATGCGAGGAATTGCTGAAGGAGTACAAGGCTTGCGAAAGTCCAGATTACATCACATACGTGCGCGCCTTCCCTTGGAACGCGCCGGTAGTACGCTGACTGTTGAACAGGGTGCGCCGGAAGGCGAAGCTGCGACGTGACCCTCGCACTCTCACTGCTGCGAACAGAGGAGCGAGGCTTTGGCCAACATGGGTGCTTGAGACCCTGCCGCTTCCACTGGCGATGCTTGCCTATTCCTGCGTGGCATGCTGATAATTGGAAACTGCGACCTCAGGGGTTTCGATTATGTAATGAAGCGATAGGTCGCTACGGCTGCGGAGGGGGAACATGATGATGTAGACAACAGCGACGGGGAGGTGGATGTATGTACGAGCAACTAAGTATACGACGACATGTACACGGCCTTGAGCCCTATGACGACTAACTAACTAATGCGGCAGCCTTGAGCCTGTAAATAAACATGCTTGGAGAAATGCGTGGGGTGCGTCCTTTGCCGAGGGGAGACGGAACAGATGTGAACGACGATGGCCTTGGGCCGGGCGGGAGCGAGCTCTAGCTGCGTAGCTGCGATGTAGGACGTTGGTGATGCGTTGGCCTTAAGCCGGAGAGAGGGACGTGCTGCGTGTGCACAGAAATTGCGATGAGGTGAAACCTCCAGAGAAGAGCGTGGCATACAAGACGGGGACGCGGGTTGTGGAAACCAAAGGGACAAGCATATGGGATCTGGTGTTTTTCGTTGCCATAGCGTAATAGCCGAGGATCGTCGAATGCCTTGAGCAAGACGGTGTCCTCGCGTAGAGTCGGGTGGTCGACGTTAGAGGTAGCGCTGATATAATATTATCTTGGAGGGTTTGAGCGGAACCGGTCTTGCAAATCGCGGCGTGCTTTACCGCTTGCCTCGTCTCACGGGCATCTTCTTGATCTGCCTCGCGCCGGGGGCCGGAGCCGGGGCAGCTCCGATGTTGAACAAGGCTCCCGCTCCCGCCGAAGTCGGCGCAGCTCCTGCGCCGAAGGGCGCTGGATTGCCGGACGAACTCGTCGGGGGCGTTCCGTTGGAGGAGCCAGAAGGCTGACCGAACGCGAACGCCGGGCTACCGAGCGAAACGGGGTTCGCTGCCGGGCTGGCCGGCTGCGACCCGAAGGCAAAGGCGTTCGTCGGCGCCGCCGTCGGGCTGCTGAACGCGAAACCGCCGGAAGCGAACGTCGCTGGGCTTCCAGGCGTCGAGCTTGCGCCGAATCCGCCCTGGCTATTGTTCGAGGGCCCTCCGAAGGTGAACGGCGCAGAAGGTCCCGTAGGCGTGGCGGACGGAGTCGTTCCAAAGCCAAATCCAGTTGTCAGCGGCGGGGCTGCAAGGCCACCCCCATCAACCTTCTGTCCGAACCCGAACCCAGCTGGGTTCGTCGGCGTAGACGTCGCGGCACCGTCGGTCTTCTGTCCAAAACTGAAGCTCGTGGTCAGCGCTGGCGCCGACGGCTTCTGCTGGCCGAAGTTGAACCCGCCGCTCGTCGACGTCGAGATCGCCGGCTGACCGAAGTTGAAGCCGTTGGCCTTCGTCTCCGGCTTCTCCTCCTGCTTCGCTCCGAAAGGATTGGCGGCGGACGACGACGCGCCAAACGTGAACGGCGTCGTGCTCGTGCTCGCCGATGGCTGACCGAACGGCGTCGAGGAAGGGAACGGAAAGCCGGTTCCTGACGGTTTCGTATCCTCCGTCACGCCGCGCGTCGGGCTTTCGTCCATGCTCACTTCCTGCTCCTGCCTGGGGGGCGTCACAGGCCGCGTGGGCGTCGCCGCCGGCGCTCCGAATGAAAACGTCGGCTTGGGTGCCTCCGCTACGGCAGACCCGCCCGACGGGGCGCCGAACGAGAACATACCGGTGCCCGGGGTCGCAGCGGGCGTCGTGGAGGCGCCGAACGTGAAAGGCGTCGCGGCAGGTTTCTTGTCCGGAGCCGGGGGAGTGGCGGGCGCCGCCCCGAACGAGAACGGGCCCTTGGGCTGCTCCTTGTTTCCAGCGGCTGGGCTAGGCGTGGCGCTTGGCTGTCCAAAGCCGAATCCGCCGCTCGTACCACCGAAGAGGGGCTTGGGCACCTCCACCGCAGTTCCATTGCTCGGCGACGCCGCTCCCGAGGGCTGGCCGAACGTGAACGCAGGCTTGGGCGCCTCGGAAGTGGCACCGCCAAACGTAGGACCTGCAGGGGCAGCGCTAGGGGCAGCGGTGCTGTTCCCGTTCCCGAACAGGGACGAGGGAGTGGTAACGGCCGGCTCCTTCTTTTGCTCCTGCTTCGCCCCGAAGCTGAACGGAAGCGTCGAAGACGACCCAGACTCGACAGGCTTAGCCGGCGGCGCGCCAAAGGAGAAGGCGGAAGTCGTCGTGCCCGCAGCCGCAGCCGGAGCGCTGCTCTCTGCTGGCTTACCAAACGAGAAGCTTGGAGGGGTAGGTGCGAGAGCCGTCTCAGCAGGCTTGGCAGGCTGTCCGAAAGAGAAGGGCGAAGGTGACGATGCCGCGGGCTCCGCCGGCTTCGGGGCTGGCGAGTCAGGAGCGGTGCTCGGCGTAGATTCCTTGGAAGCGGCAAACAACGACGGAGCTGCAGGAGCGGGAGAAGGGGCGGCATTGCTTTCCGTGGTGACGGAACCGAACGCGGACGGCTTAGAAATGGCGCCGAAGGGCGAGGGCTTTTTGTCGGCCGCCGTCGCCGTGTTACCGCCAAACGAGGACGTCGGAGCTGGTTCGGACTGCTTGGTCTCCGCACTTGCATTGCCGAATAGCGAGGTGCCTGTACCGACTGTTGGTGCCGCAGATGGAGGAGCACCGAACGAGAACGCTGAGTTCGGCGCTTCAGACACTGACGCAGCAGGAGCAGGAGCTGGTGCAGGCGCTCCGAACGAGAACGCGCTCTTGGGCTGCGCATCCTCCTTCTTCGCCTCGCCTGCCGGTGGGCCAAAGCTGAACGACGAGCCAGCGCTCGAACCAGACGACGATGTATCCTTCTCCTTCGCGAGGACGGACGAATTGGCGAAGAAGTTCGGGATACCGCCCGGCTTGGTCACTAACGATGCGGAGACGGATGGCTCAGGCGTAGCTGGGATAACGGAAAGAACTGGCACCGGAGGCAACGTCGATGTGCTGTTGGTTCCCGTGGAGGTGGAAGGTTTGGCAGAGAACGAGAATGGCAGAGATGGGATAGGAGGCTCCTTCGCCTTCGCAGCATCGCTCACAGGTACTGTAGCAGCCTGTTCGACGCATCAACATCATGTCAACCGAGTATCTCAGCCAAAACATCCACTTACATCCGGCTTGGCGAAACTGAATCCGGCAGGTATGTTGAAGACAGGGGCCTTCTTCGACGCCTCCTCTAATTCCTGGATCTCACGTTCCCTCTCGTCTTCGGCATCCATCGAATCTTCCTCGTCGTAGGCCGAAAACCTTCCCGACGCACGCGCAGGGCGTGACAGGTGTTGTCGGGACGTCTTGACTCGCCCCACACGACCTGTCGGGGCAACCGTGCCAGCTGAAATATTGGCAAACGGCGAGAGCTCCGGGCGAGCCTTGGGCTGCGGCGGCCGGGGCGCCGATACCTCGACGTCAGGCTTGAGCGTCGCCTTGGAGGGCTCGGCAGTCTCCTCCATGCTCGTGTCCTCGCCTTCTCGCTCCTTCTCCTTCTTTCCCTCAGCCTCCTCTTCCTTCAACTCCTCCTTGCGTCTCCTCGCCAGCAACTTCCGCATACCGCCCTCGCCCGCATATGGCTTGGAGGCGTTCACCTCCTCCTCCTCATCGCTGTCTTCCACCTTCTTCTTGCTCTTCTTCACCTTCTTCGGCTTCCACACGCCCAGTCCAAGCTTCTCCAACTCCTTCTCCTCCTCGCTGCCCCGCTTGGTCGGAATCGGCACCCTCAGCTTCTTCTCACGGAGCACCTCCGGCACGCCTCGGATGTTGGCTTGCTGGTAGCGCGTGGGCAAAAGAGGTTTCTTGTAAATGTCTGACTCGTGCAGGGCCTTTTCTGCTGCAAAGAGGAAAGAGAGAGAGATGAGTCCCTGAACCCCAACGAGGCGTAAGTCTGCTACTTACCACTGCAAGCACGCTCATGAGCCTGTTTCCCTGGCGTGTCGAAGATCAGCGCGTGCTGGTGCCTCACAGGCGACCTAGACTGTGTCCCATAATAGGCGCGAATAATCAGTTTTTCGGCTAGGCAAATAAGGTGAAGAGACCACGCACGCCTCGTCTGGCCTCCAACAAATCGCCGAGCGTTGGCGATGCTTGATTCTGTTGGCCCTGCATGCCGGGGCTGCTCTGTGCATCCATCGATGGCCGCATAAACAGCGGCCTATCCCCCAGATTCGCGATCGGCGACATGCGCGTCGACTGGGACAGCTTGCGCTCCGGGCTCGGGCCGAATCGCTGCCCGCTCGGCGCGGGCGTGAGCGAGGAGCGGATGCGGAACCCGCCCGCGGCCGCGGCCGCGGCGCTCGCGGACGTCGTCGGGAACTCGCGCGGGACGGAGGTCGCGGAGCGCTGGAGCGGGTTGTTGGTATAGATGGACGACATGGACGCGTCGATATCGCGCGTCGGCGACGGGGGCGGGAGCGTGCCCATCGAGGAGTCCATCGTGCCGTCGCGCGTGAGGTGGCGGAGGCCGGAGGGCGGCAGGGCGGCGTCGACGGACATCGTGCGCGTGACGCCGTTGGAGACGGAAGGGAAGCGCATGGGGGGCCTGTTGAGCGGCATAGAGGGCATATCGGGGGCAGAAGGGCGGGCATGGACATTTTTTTGGGTGTTTTGAGTCTGGATGACGGGTCGAGGAGGAGGAGGAGGCGCATAATGGGCGTGTTGGCCGGGAGTTTTTGGGTTGTGCTGGGTCGCATATGCGGGGCTGAACGCCCCGACGGGCGGGTCGAGGTAGCCGGCGTGCGTCTGGGCGTCGTGCTCAGGGCTGTCGACCCTCAACCGCTTGATCCTCCTCCCCGCGCCGTCCACGTCCACATCGGCCCTCTCGGCCTCCCGCTCGCGCTCCCTTCCCGATGCCACTATCCTCCGCTTCCCGTTCGGTGTCCCCTCGTACACATCCTCGCTCTCTCCATCGGTGTCCTCGCTCTGGTGCCCGAACCACGACGCGAGCGGCGCGGTGACGATGTTCTTGAGCGTGCCTAGGAGGCTGCCGGACCGCTGGAGGGGCTGAGCTCGTCGGGTGCCCGAGCCGTGGATCGTCCGATGCTGGGCGCGGCGTTGTTGGTGGTCGTGCTTGCCGTTTGCCCTAGGGAGCATCGCTCAGCATGCTCAAGGGGTGGAGGCAGCAAAGCAGAGCTCGACCCGTTGGTCCAGCGCCTGACTCCTCCCTGAGGCTGTGTGGCGTGTGAAAAGACATTGAAATCATCCATCCAGACTGGGACGAGGTCTGGCTGGCCTCCCGGCACGGCGAGCCGGGCTCGCAGTTCGTTCCAGTGAACTTCACTCCGTCTGGCAGCAGCTTGATATGCAACTTACAGCATCTTCAAGAGAGATTACTGCATGCCCATCGCTGCAAGCGTTTGCGCCGAATATGTCGACCTTTTTGCTCAGCGCCGTCACCCAGCCTCCGTCGCAAAGGCAGAGAAAAGGCTTATTGTCCAAGTTCTCGCTGTCAGGCAGTGACGTGGGGCCTTCAAATCTTTCGGCTTTCATAGACGATAAAGCTCGTTCGATACTGCTCGCGAGTTGCGCGATTCATGTCCTTGATATGGCCGGGTGCTGAGCACCCGACGGCTCGCGACAGGTTAACAACACACCGGAAACGTCACCGGAAGGGCATGCGCACTTGCAGGCGCGGATATCACTCGAAATTCGTTTCATGGCTTAGGATGCCAGCAGCTTTCAACCCACCGCTTCACGTTCAAAATTAAGTACTACTCCTCTCCTCCGTCGCTCGGGCACCACGGTAGACGGTCTACTCCGTTCCGACCTTCAAGTGACACATCGTAAAAGCCCGAATCGGATCGAAAACCGCCGGAATATGGTGGGTGGCGTTGGGATAGGTCAAGATGAATTCTTGGTGGACTCCCCGCGGAGAACTTTGACCCGCTGCAGATACACCAATGCATCCGTGTAGGGGTAGTTAAGCCTCCTGAGCCCCGCCGCGGTCATCTCGGGAAGAGATATCGCGCATCAGATGTTTCGCCTCAGGGTCCCCTGCTCACCTGCGCGAGCTCTACCCATGCAGAGGCACGGGTAGATCGCAAGATATCCGATGGCTGCATTTCAATGACCAGTATATCATCCGGGAATAACTGGGACCCTCGCAGTGTCGACGACTCGGATCCTTATAACCTCGAAACATCGACGCAGAGTCGAGAAGCGCAACAGGTCCCATACGTAGATGACATTTTCTATGCACCTGCCGACGCTGCGTTCAGCCTTGGTATCCGCCGGCTATCTTAGGTCCAGCGTTCTCGCCGTCCTCAGCGCATACGGTGTGTCTCGTTGACTTTCTTCCTGAGAGTTGTCACGCTCAATCATACGCGGTTGACAGCCAAGGCGAAGGTGCTCGAGATACTTCGAGATGGCATTATCGTCGGCCACCTGACCATCGTCGACGAGAGCGTACCGATCGAGATCGGAGCACAGGACGGTGCAGGCCGGTCCGTAACATTAACCGTCCTCAATGCGGACCTATGGACCAGAGTCATATTGTCCAGCGACTTACTAGGAAGTGAGCCGTTCAAAACTGTAGCTACTGCAAGTCAGCTTACGCAGGTTTTAGTCGCCGAAGCATATACGCAAGGCGACTACGAAGTCTCCAGCTTGAGTGACTTCTTCAACGTACGACTATCCACCTTTCTTTGGATGAACATCGATCTCCTAACTCTCCTACAGCTCTGGTTAGACAATCGGAAGACGCTGCACGCGCTGTCCACGTCGATCAGCTCCATCTTCACCCAATACTCCGCGCTCGCGATCAGGAGCCTCGGATGGCAGAGCCTCAGCATGGCTCGACGTAACGTGGTACGTCGATTTTTCTGCATAAAACTCGCAACGGAATATGACGCGCTCACGCTTCGTCCAGGAGGCGGCGTACGACACGTCCAATATCTTTTTTCAGGTAACGTTCAAATTTCTGCCCCACCCGAAGCTTGCCCTTCCTAAAACCGGAATTAGCGATCGCATAGTGTTTCCTGAGCGCGGAGATGATGTATTCCTGCGCGTTATGGGGAGAAGCAGAGAATGGGGTTCGCGGTGACCTCACGGTCGGCCCTACTCCTGGTGACCTAGAAGCAGCCCAGCAGCGCAAGATCACGACCGTACTCGCCAAAGCTCGCGTACGCCATGGAGACCGGCTGCTCGAGATCGGCACGGGATGGGGAGCGATGGCGATCCAAAGTAAGCCCCTCGCTTTCTTATTTCATCTCGAGCTTCCTTGGGGTTGAGGGCGGGGTCTCACTTCGAGCGTTATAGGCTGCTTTGCTGGGCTGCACGGTCGACACTCTCACGCTCTCCGAGGAGCAGGCGGACATGGCTCGACAAAGAGCGCGCGAAGCGGGGGTGCAAGACCGCGTAAGCGTCCATCTCTGCAATTATCGCCAGATGCCTTCCGCGTTCGAGCACGCGTTCGACGCGCTCGTAACATCCGAGATGATCGAGGTGAGGACTTTCTCAGAACCTCTGCCGAATGCTTACCACCCTTGTCCCGCTTTCGTATTTCTTGTAGCATGTCGGAAGCCAACATCTAAACCAGTTCTTCCGGATCATGGATTGGGCCCTCAAGCCAGATCGAGCGACCATGGTGATCACGGCTACCTCTCAGCCCGAACACCGACACCGTGTATATCAGTGAGTGCCCCTCTTACACCCTTGACGCATGTTTGACCCCGGTTGGATATCAGGCCAGATGACTTTGCTCGGCATTACCACTGGCCGAACGCCAGAAAAACTTCGACAAAACAGTGATCGACGACTTGCGCCAGAGTTTCCCTCATCTACGCGATGAGCGCTTCGTCCGATCGGTCAGGAGGAAGGAGGAAGTGGATATACATGTTCGCGTACGCGGAGGTGGGCTTCACGCGAGGGTACACGGCATGTAACTGTTGGACATTCACGCGACCTGTGAGTGATCGCCTGTGACCGCTTAACAATGGGCATGCTAGGCGCTAACGCGAATTTGCCATTCAGGAGAATGTGGTGGAAATTTGCGACTGAGTGACGAGGCGGTCGCTGGCGGGCGCCGTTACCGTAGTTCCACCCGAGGCCAAACGTGCGTATAGAGGATCATGGGATGTGACTCATCCGACACGGTCCATCAACTCGAGCATGCTGATGGACAAGAATGCAAGATGGAGAAAAGTGCTATTATGCTGTTGGATGCCGATGACGAGTACAATGTACAGACTGAATAATATTACGAGTAAAGCAGCCCCAAGACAAGAACCACCACGCAGCCCACTTCACCGGATCCGGGCAAGATTCGTTGTTGACGCGCACCTGTAACAGTTAGTAGCACGAACCGCAGATAAACTGAGAGGAAACAAAATGACGAGAGCGCAGGGAAGACGAAGAGTGAGTAGCAAACAGTAGGGCGCCGTGCCAAGTTTGATTTTTGAACCTAGCCTTTTATCCGTATGATCGCACTTGAGGAGTGGCGAGATCGACTTGTCGCCAGATCAGGTAAGACCATGTACGGTTCGTCGAGAACTTGCGGCGGACGCGGAGAGACCGCGTGGCGGATGGGAGAAGAGACCGCATGACGTACGGCAAAGCTTCAAGAGTCATTCACTGAACCCGAGCGCGCTTAACGTCTGAAACATTTCATCGTAAGCGACATCAGTAAGCAGCCTCGAAACCAAGGCAACGAACCGGGTGGACTTGGAGGGAAATCATCCTCGACCTCTGCAAATTCATCGTCGTCAAGATCGACCTCGTTGATACTCCGCTTGGACGACCTCGTTGAATGATCCGCAGAGCTGTCAGCCGAAGCCGCATCCAGTGATGCACTGGCAACGATATCGTCGTCGTCTCCCCAGTCGTCATCGTCATCGAGTAATTCAGGCTCTTCCTCTTGACCCTCGTCCACAAGAGTAAAGGCGTCGGGGTCTTCCGCGGCTAATGACGTCACTGATTCCTCTGGAACGAACCCAAGTCAGTCCACGAACTGAACGACAATCGAGTAAAGAGAAACGCACGAATGATTTCGGCGCTCGACGCACTGGGATCATCAAAGGCTGTCTCGGTGCCAGCCTCAGCTTCAGAAGGGCCGTTGGCGGCTTGATGACCGTCGGAGAGGGTCTCCGTGGAAGTAAGATCTACAGATGCTTAATGAGATCTCCAGCCGACCGTAAGCGACCACAGGTCGCACCTTCCGAGTCAGCATCGTCATCTTCGACGAAATCATCAGCCAGCTCCTCGGAACGTGGTTCGATTCCATGGACGTCTGGCTCGCCAGCGGCAGCGAGGCCCGGATCAACGACATCACCTGTCTCCCCTGTCTCTTCACCTGCATTTGCGTCCAGCTCGTTCACCCGGTAGTTCTCAAAGCCTTCATCGGGCTGGGTAACATCGCCTTCGTTATACACGGCGCCCTCGCCCCCGCTCCCAAGGGGAGCATCTTTGATCTCGTCTTCATCACGGACTTCGGCTTCACCGCCTTGCTCTTCGTGTACATCTCCCACCTCTTGCAGCACCGTAGCATCGGCATCGGCAACATCGGTAGGTCCCGCTTCTCTGCCGTCATCGTGTGGCTCCTGTTCGTCAAGGTCCTGATGCCGGTGCGAATGTTGAGGGTAACCGTCCTCGGTGTGTTCGGGGGGCTGTTGAGGGTCAAGTTCGTCGGCATGTTCTTCCACTGAATCGTTTAGTTGATGTTCGTGGGCGTCTAATGCATCGGGCTGGTCTGTAGTCTCCTGCACGTCGTGCTCGGTCACGTCCGTCTGAGGGCCTTGGTCTTCGTTGTCGTCCTCTTCGTGCTGTCCATCGTCGGAAACGCCTTGCGGGCGTGCTCTTACGGACTCATCGATATTACCTGCAACAGTTTCGCCTTCTGCTATCGGTCCGTTAGATCGACGCATCTCAATCATGTGTAGGTCAGCTTACCATGAGGTTCCGCGTCTGTATGCTCCTGCCCAGCATCGTGGGCATACGTTTCTTCGTTATCTGCGTCAATATTCAGTCGCGCGATGTGATTTCTCAACTCGTGATATCGTTGGATGAATCTAGGAGAGGACGATTGTAACCTGAGTCGGAGTGGCCCAGTCAGAGCCAAACCGTCGTGCAAAACGCCTAATTCATGCAACGTTATCTCTCGAGCATATACGTTATCCTGGAAAAAGAACAGTGAGCATGAGCTATTCGTGAGACAACGGGTCGAACGCACCTCGGATATCATCAGCTGGATGTCGTAAGCGTCCAGAACCAGTTCGCTATCGGACGAGCTTGGCATCTCTGCCACCCGGTTCTCCAGTCGCAACGCCTCGAAGAGGCGTGACAGCGGCTCATAGTACAGCATCGGGCTGTTGTGAAGTAACAAATCGTGCTCTGGAACGGAGGTCGCACCGTGCTGGGGAGTAGCCGACCCCGACCGAGGACCAGGATGGTTGAATAAACAGCATGAGGGTTCACCCTCGCCACCAATCGATAGCAACACAGCAGGTGGCGGGTCGATGTATACGCCATCGGATATTTCGTGAGGATCCACAGTATCTCCCTCTACGTGTTCCGGCTGCTGTTCGACGCCTGCGTCGTGCGCATCTTCGGCAGCAGTTCCCTCTATGTGCCCGGTATGTTGCTCAAGTTCGACCTGGTGCTCTTCTTGAGCCACCTCCGCATGCTCATGCGTATGATGGAGATCAGTTTCTGTCGCTGTTGCAAGCTGAGCAAGACCCTCCTCTGCATATTCAGCTGCTTGTTCTGGTGGGTTGGTCTCTGTGAAGTTGGGAGCTAACGGCTCAGTCGTGGACGACTGCAGGACATCTTCTGCGGTCTGCGGCTCTGGGAACGAGGTCGGGAAGGCCTCGACTGCCGGGATTGTAGTCGCGACAGCCACATCTTCGGGAGGAGGCCCTGATTCAGCAGGTACACCGAGGTCAGGGACGAAGGCCGGTTCAAAAGACGTCGACCCTGGAGGGCGGTCGCCCAAAGGCGTGTGTAGATGAGGATCCGTGTCGACGACACGTGTGTCAGGCGCAGGTAGGGAAACGACGGGGTTCAGAGCGTCGACGACTGGTTCCGCCGACGACAGGCCATATACCTCAACGTCGACGGAGGGCGGTAATTCGACGTCACCAACGTCTTCGCCGTCCGCCATTTCGTACTCGATGTCTTCCGCGTAATCTTCCATATCGACTTCGACGCTTTCTTGTTCCGTGTTGTGCGACAAAGACTCATCGCCCATCGTCACTTCATCGTACGCCCAAAGTTCGGTCGACGGACCCGCGTTCATGGGGATATCCGTGTCGCCAGAGAAGTCCATCATCGGCGCATCATACGTTTCAAGCGTGGTCATCGTCGACAGCTTGTCGAGGAGAGTGGAGAAAAAACGAAAGTGGCCAAAAGCGGTCGCAAGGGTACGACTCAGCAACGCGCCGGTTTAGGGCCGGCTTTCACCACCTTGGCCACGAGACCGCAGAAATCTTCATCGGCTGCCGACTTGCCGATTGCCAACAATTGGAACAAACACCTCGATCAACTCAGGATCAACTGACCCAACGGGCCCATACTGCGGACGGCTATCCTTACTCACCCTCTGATAGCGATTGATAGGCTCATCGGCCTGGAACATTGCGCTTCTGCCACGCTTTCCACTGTCGGCCTACTTCTCATATGTTCACACCCGCAAACTACACCATGTCGTACGCGTTGCTCCGCTGGAAGCACGTATATTCTGGCATGTCGCGCCTGCAGGCCGCGAAGGCTTGCACACATACGTTCTTCTTCTCCTCCGCGTTGCCATCGAGAGATCCTGATTGGCAATGTTGGTTCGGTGTTTCTCCGGATAGGCCGGCACGCCCCTCGGCACATGGTCTTCCAATCGCTTGCCTCCCCACGAGCCGGGGTGCTACAAAACCATGCGGAGACCTATGAAGCAATATCCCTGGACTCCCTCGCCTCCTTTGCTCGATGTCTGGTGCAGCGACGGACGAGAAAGACGAGGTCAAGATGGCCACCAAGGAGCTCGTTACTCTCCCGGAGGTGCAGGGCACCGGTGGTCCTGATGCCCAGCTCACGACCCCTCCCTCGGATGAAGCCCCTAAGCAGGAGACTGGGACGCATGGATTAACGGATCAGACGAACTTCTTGCCCGCCCGCCAAGTGATCGCTGTCTTTATGGGACTCTCCGTTGCGTTGATGTGCTCCTTCCTTGACCAAACCATGTTAGTTATCCATATGCTCGCATGAATATACCACGAACATAGCTCATGCCCACTCAGCGTGGCTACTGCTCTGCCGAAGATATCGTCAGATTTACACTCGGGTAAAATTAGTTCATGGGCAAGTTCGTTTCCTCCGAGTACGACGCAGTTATCTGATAAGATTTTACGTATCCTGCAGGTCGCGACTGCTTATCTTCTGACCAGGTAAGCGTCGCGTTCAACTGTTACCAGATGTCTTAAATGATTGGCGTCTTCCGTAGTCTCGCGTTCACGCCGCTGTACGGTCGATGGTCAGATGTCTTCGGACGAAAAATAGTTCTGATGGTGTCGCTGGCTATTTTCTTCGTTTTCTCTTTGGCTTGCGCATTATCGCAGACGATGATCCAGGCATGTGCATCCAGTGGTCGGTGTTGCGCTTGACTGATCTTCTTTAGCTCATTGTGTTTCGTGCCTTCCAAGGCATCGGAGGCGGAGGTAATGCTACTGTTCTCAGACTTTATAAGGCACTGACGACGCCGAGACTCAAGCTATTATCACCATGGTTCTGATCATGTGCGTACGCCGCCTCACTGTTCTGCGTATTTCTCATGCATCCACCAGTGTTTCCGACATCGTCTCTCTGAAGGATCGTGGTAAATACCAAGGCATCAACGAAGCCATAATCGCCATCAGCAACGGCGTGGGTCCGATCTTGGGAGGAGTTTTCTCTCAGGATACGACCTGGCGATGGGCGTTCTGGATCAACCTGCCGTTAGGAGGCCTGGCCATAGCCGTATCTCTCTGGCTGCTGCCACTCAAGAAGGTTCACGGAGACATGAAGTCGAAACTTCTTCGGATAGACTACGCTGGCTCGCTCTTGACAATCATCTCTTCGGTACTGCTACTGGTGAGTTGTACTTGCGTTCATTCGTATCTATCGTTTCCTAATATACTTGGTCACCAGATTGGACTGAACTGGTGAGCAGCCGTCACCGTTCGGGTCTAACGACATGTTGAAGACCATCACAGGGGAGGAGTTACATTCCCGTGGGCATCAGCTGCCGTTTTGGTACCTATTATCCTTGGAGTTCTAGTAAGATCTTTGTCGGTACTGTCAGAGCACAGCATGATTTATAAAATTAAAAACAGGTTTTCGGAGTCTTCCTGTATTGGGAAGCAAATCATGCTTCCCTTCCCATCGTTCCAGGTAGGAGTCAACGACGGCTCAACGGCGAATTATCTCAAAAATATCTCCCTTAGTGCGTATATTCAAGACACGGACGGTTGTTGGCGTGTACATCTGCACGCTCGCGAAGTAAGTTTCCTGACTCATTCCATCTTTCGGCGTCATGAGGCTCATCGAGCTTTCAGCGGAATGACGTTCTTCGCTGTACGTTCAGGCGCTTAGTTTGAATTCCGATGCGACGTCCGACCTTTGTATCAGATCTTGTACTACGTCCCTCAGTTCCTGCAGGTGGTTCGAGGTAGCTCGCCCATTACGTCGGGTCTGTTGGTCTTGCCCTTCCTTGCCCCCGTTGGTAGGTTCGGTAGTGAATATAGCCTCGATCTCCGCTGATCCTTGATTCGCAGCCGTATGTGTCTTCATTTGTGGTCAGTCCCCCCTCCCCCCTCAATCATTGAACCAAGTTTTGAAACCGTGTCTTGCATGAACAGGACAAATTACTAGTAGAACGGGACGATATAGGCCTATGATCATCATCGGTTATGCGCTCTGGTCGGTCGCCCAAGGGCTTCAGAGCACGATCACCCAAGACAGCTCGGACGGGAAGATAGTCGGCTATCTCCTCCTGGGAGGCATTGCGTCCGGCGGCACGTTCCAAACGTACGTTCGCCCAGACTATCTCACCTTCGTGCCTCACGTTGGTTGTTCAGGTCACTCATTGCGGCGCAAGCTGCCGTTCCCCGGAGCGAAATGGCCGTGGTCACCGGCGTGAGGAACTACGTCCGGCTCTTTGGCTCGACGCTCGGCCTGGCCATATGTGCTTCGATTGTCAACAACGAACTCAAAGGTGCCATTCGACCGCTCGGGCTTTCTAGCCAACAGATTTCGCAGATCACGAACGACCCGACGATCATCCACGATTCTTCCTTCAACTTGACCAACGAACAAAGAAGGACCGTCATCGACGGATACGCAAAAGGTTTGCCAGGCCTGCCAACGACCTTCCCTTCCGCCGTTTGCTGATGTTCATTATACTTTAGGGTTCAAGAACGTCTTTTACCTGACGATGGCTTGCGTTCTTATGGCATTTATATCCTCTGTTCTCCTTATACAGCACCACTCACTGAAGCGAGCCGATGATAAGGAGCTCAAAGAGGCAACGAAGCGAGAGCTTCTCGCCAAAAAGATGAAGAAAAAGGGACTTCAACCCGGTGATCAGGACCTGGAGTCCCAAACCCCCGAACCAGAACAAAAGGCACAATAACCGTACCGGTTATGCGGCCAAAAATGGTGGCATGGGCGATGATTACTGAGACGGGAATATACGGGCGTACACGATTAGACGAGGATTCATTCAATAGATGTGCGTGTATACTACGATATAGATACAGATGGAGAAGGACTGAGTAGTATGCGCTATGTTACAACATATGTTACAACAACCGACCTGACTGAAACTTAGTAGAGTCGGGTTAACCGTCACTTATGTGATGTCTTCGCCAGCACTTTCTTCAGTTCCGCATTCTGCTTCTCCAGTTGCTCAATCTTCCCTTCGGACGCTTGCATCTTCTTGACCAGGTACTTTTCCCGAGTGCGAGTGCTGCTTGACCACCAGCTCGATTCGCCAGCACGAATCTCCTTGAGGGTGAGCAGCTCCTCCTCGCACGCCTTCACGGTACTCTCCGCACTGGCAATGAGCTTCTCGTTGATTGCGATATCTTGCGTTGCCTGGAATACGCGGTCTACAAGCGCACCAGCATAATGTCAGATTGAGTCAAGGAACATTGACATCGATGTGCGTACCCTGTGCGACCTGCTGGAACACATATTTGTAGACAGGCTTGCCCGGCCTGATCGTCGTCGGGCGACCATTGTCCGTTCCGATAGCGACCAGCTCGGCGTGCTCCATGCTCCTTAGCGCAGTTTCGTCGCCTTTGAAGGGAAAGTCGATCAGGACGTCGTAGTACGGCAACTAGTATGCGTAAGCCAGATCAATCACCCGAAGGCCGACAACATCTGCAGTTAATGTTACTCGCCTCATCGGCCTTCGATAGTTTCTTCACAAGCGTCCATGCCTGCTCCCTAGACCAAGGCAAGTTTTTCGCATCTTCCGCATCATCCCCAAACGCATTCTTGCGCAATTCCCCGACGTCCCGTCGGATGATGTCCTCAACAGCCTCTTGCACGCTCTGGCCGTTGCGAACCTTATGTATCAACTATCACAACGACAACGTCAGATCGTGCGCTCGCCCTATTTCCAGTACCAAGTATGGACTCACACTCTCGAGGTCGCTCGCCCGTCCACCAAGTCGTTCGACGTACTCCGTCTCCCTCCCACTGAACGGAATGTTCACCCCGGCGTCGTTCAGCTTCTGCTTGACGTAAGATAGAGCGCTGGCCGCGTCCGCATCGTACAGCGCAATAGCGTTCAGCGGCTTGCTAGGTAGTGCTACAGACCCATCACGGGCCAGGCATGAGCCGACGTCCTTCCAACCGCACCAGGTCATTTCGAAAGCTCACCCTTAGCCAGCCTCTTAGCGTTCTCCCTGTTATCGCTGACCACTACAACGTGCGCGATCTTGTTCTCCGCCAGGCTCGCCGCCCAGGTGGCGAGCACGTTCAACACCTCCTCGTTTGCCCCTGCGCGCATGACGAAGTTCTTGAGGACGACGATCGGCAACGAATTGACAGCCTCCACGTCCTCAACCGATCGCTGCTTGCGCTCCGGGTCCTGGCCCTCGCGGCGCTGCTCGCTGCCGTTGCTCGGGGTCGCGTTTGGGTCTGGCCTGCCGGACACCTCGTCCGAGCCGGAGCCCCCGAAGGGCTTCCCCAGCATTTCGAGCACCGACGCCGCCTTGTCCTGTAACCGGGCTTCGACGACGTCGACCCGGCTCTCCTCCGCGGTATTATCGACCGTCGTGTGCACCGCCTCCTTCTTCTCCTCTGCGTCCTTGTCCACCCCCGTCGGCAGGTCATCCGCCTCGGCATAGATCTCGTCCCCGATCCCGAGCTCGCTCATGACCCCGTTCCCCGCCACGCAGTCCATCCTCGGGTCATGCCACGTCCCGTCCCTGATCCGCTGGCGCCGCCTCTCCCTCTCCCGCCGCATGCTCTCCCGCTTCTCCTCCTCCTTGATCCGACGCTGGAGCGCGGTGCGGTGCGACGCCGACACGCGGTGGAGCGCGGTTGCTGTGATATCGAGTACTTGCTTCAGCTGCTCGGTTAGGGACGTAGACAGGCCGGCTGCGAACAATCAAAACTAGTTGAGCCTTCGCCATGTGGGTTTCATCAGAGGGAGGGAGGCGTGCGATTCTTCCTTACCTTTCTGTCCGATAAGGCCGACGGCGGCGAGGTCGAGGAGGTTGCTCGCGGAGTTGAGGAAGGTGAAGATCGGCCAGTACCCCGTCTGTTCGGCGAGCGCGCCGACCAGCTGCGAGTCGGATGACTTCTTGAAGAGCTCGTTGCAGTCGATAATGAGCGCTTTCCTGCGATATGTCGGACATATGGTGAGTATATGCGCATACATCCAAGGCAATATGCAAGGACGTGTACATACCGATGGTGAGCCGTGATGACCGCCTCCAGCATCCGGCCCTTGCCGCTCCCCTGCGGTCCGTGCACGAAAGTGATAGTATCTGCATAGGAATAGCGTCAGCGCGCCGTATCGACGGAAAGAGCAGAGGAAGAAAAACTCGCTCGGTAGATCGGTCAAGTACCGCTCCATTGCCCCCGCCGCATCCTCTCTATCCTTCCACCCTCTCGCTTCATGGCTGGCTCCTCCCTCGGTCAGAATTTCGTCGTGATGCGACGCCAGGCCGAGCGACGACGGCAACCGGGTCGTGAGCCAGCGATAGAGCGCCCAGTCCTGGTACTCGAACCAATCGCCGACTTTGCCTTCGATCATCCAGGTGCGGATGGGGTCGAACACCTTTCATGAATGGAAGATGAGAAAACGGAGGACCATCCATAGCGAAAGTTGCGCGTACGGTATATGTAAACGTGAGCAAGAGCGAGACGACGACGGGTATGACGATCCTCGGGTGGCTCGAGAGCCAATCACGTATAACGTGCGCCTGTACGGGAGGCTGGTATCCCAGCCGCAGCCTGGTGCTCTAAATGGTCATGCGTTAGCGTCAAGCGCGTCGAATGCAACGCGGCACCGAAGGTGCATGGTTCATATGCGTACGGGTGAAGAACCGCCGGGGACGACGTCGAACCCGTGCATCACGTTCCTGGCTACCGTGGCGGCGCTGAGGCTGCGAAAGGAGACCGTCGCGGTGCGGAGCGACCCCGCCGGCGGAGGCGTCGGCATCCCTATGTCTTGTATCCTGCCGTATGGCTGGAGGACAGGGTCGTTGGTCCAGAAAACATCCACTCGCATGGGTTGACGCTCACTCGTAGCACATCGTACAACATCTCTTCCCTGACATCGGGCCCCTCAAAAGCGACTTTCACTATCGGCGACGCATACCGGTCGAGATCCTAAACAAAGAAACAACGTGATGGTCGAATCAGTACCGGGCATATCGCCAGACCAACATTCAGGTGTACCTCTCGCCAAGGATGCCCCTTCACCGTCCATACCCTCCCGTGCCCGAGTCCTATCCAATTCGGCACGCCTCCGTCCTTCGCAGCCTCCGCCCTCACCTCCTTCTCGATTTCGCCCAGCACGCGCTCGATATCCTCCCGCTTCGCGGCGTCGTCGGATTTGTCGAGCGCGTACGAGAAGTGGACGAAGACGCCGCCCTCTTTGTGGTGCGACTCGAGCGAGAGGGGCTTGAAGGAGAAGCGGGACGAGGACGAGACGTTGGAGAGGATATGCGAGAGCTTCTCGAGGAGGGTGTCTTCTCGGAAGACGCCGATGTAGTGCCGGAGGCTTGTGAGTAGCGTGTTAGCATCGAGAGACGTACATAGGAGAGTGCGGCGACGTACTCCCATGCGCCGAGGCGTACTGGGAAGACAGAGTCGACGAAGAGCCATGCATCTCGCGTCTGTAACGACTCCTTCAGAACACGATCCAAGAGTTCGGCATGCACCCACTTTTGTGTCGCTTACGGGCGGAACTCGGACATCATCTGCGATACTGGTCGACTCGGCGCCAGTGACCGTCGACACGTTCCGACGGACGACAGCGGTTCGCCTGCCTTCAGCATGACGCATTGCAGCAGCAGTCCTCGGAAAACATTTGATTCGGACGGTGATCAAGGCAGAGCGAGCCCCAGCACGCGGAATAAGCGACATATCCGAATGTCGCACCGTTCGACGCGCTCGTGGCTTGCGGACAGAAAGTAGAACTGAAGAGAGAGTCGGCGAAATGCACCAGTTACGTCATAGGTGTACCGAAGTGTTTAGCGAGGGCTTGCTGGCCAGGTTGATCATGCCATAGCATGCTCTGTATGGCCTTACAGAGCGCCGATACGGAAAGTCCATGGCAGTCAGTGTGTGCCAGCTACAGACGTGCATTTGGGTGTGCTGAAATCTTAAGAATGGGGGGAGTTCGTCGCGCTCCGTCCGAGCTCATGCGTATTGGTGCATCACACGGTATGGAAAAGGCGATACTGAGGTGGTTGCGATGATACGGACTTCTAGTTTACAGACAGCAGGTGCGGCGTGGCGTAGGTTGGGTTACATGAATGCGGGATATGGCGTCGTCAAAGCGATGCGACTACGGAGGTACCGATTTACGACTTCTTCGGTCCCTCCAGCTTCTTCCCAATGTCCGCACCTGGATGAAAAAAAAGGGTTGTAAGCCAATGCGATCCAGCCAGAAAGGGAGAGGACACCGCAGGGCAAATGCGCCATGAGGATCCAGGTTCAGAATCAAAGGGGTGATGCTTACCCCGTAGTTTGACGCCCAACGCCCGCTCAAGCTTAGCAAGGACCTGGTTGCTGGGTATCGCCTTGCCAGCCTCGTAGTCCTGCACGACGGACGGCTTCTCGTTGATCTTCTGCGCAAGATCTTTCTGCGAGAGCGACTTGTCCATCCGTCCCTGCTGAATGGCCTGTTAAAGTGCGTTAGCCGTCATCCGATGCATGCTTGCTTAGGTAAAGGAGGCATGAATAGAGGCGAAGGGGAGCGGTTAGGATCGTATACGATACCGACCTTGCCAACACTCGGAGCGACCTTCGGCGGCGGCGCGACCTCGTTCTCCCGGTCGAGCTTAGCGATCTTCTGGTGGTCGACGCTGGGCACCTTATTGCCCAACGTGCTCTTCTTGTCGGTAGCGACGACCGCGCCCACTCTCCGGGCCTGGCAAGGAATAATTTAGATGCGCTCGTGCAGACGCACAATCTAAAAACGTACAGCTAGAGACGATCGTTGGATCAGCTAACTGGTCGTCAGACCTCTTTCCGTCAGGACAGGACGTACCGTTCAAATCCGAGGTGGTTCGCGTGACTTTGGCGACCTTTGCCTTGCTGCCGATGACGGTCTTAGAGTCCCAATCGAGGCCGGACATTATCACTGTATGTCTAGGGGTGGTCTAGTCGGGGTGATGCGTTGAGGACGTGGCGCGAGTGCTCGAGGAGATGGAAACAGGCGGCAGCGGTACGCAACGCGCAAGCAGCGTTTATAAGTACGTCACGCGTTACACCGCCGATGAGTCCGGATGAGTCACCGAGTCATCGCTCGTCCTGCTCGCATCCGCTCATCGCCTTGCGATTGCTGTCGCGACTTGTTCTTTGAGTCACTCTCACCAATAGGATCCAAGCTGTCTTTTAGACAGGGCCAGTCCTTTTCATCAAACAACTGCTTGAGCGTCCTGCACTGCAGTAAGCCATACGCGATCAGATTTCTATTGAACGCACTTCATGACAGTCTTCGTCCCATCAAGTAACTCGAACGACAGGTTAATATTGCTGCAGAAAGGCAAAATCTGAAGCTCGAGTTAGAGGATCTGCTAGCCCGCGCAGTCGACTCCACCAGCTAGCCCCTATTCACGGTCTTCCACCGGAAGTATTGTGCATGACCTCGGTCCTCCCGCGCATGTTTGGCCTCGACTGCCGACGAACCGCGAGCGTTCCCCTTCATCCGCGTTTACACCCAAGTCTGTCGACCTTGGCGACAGGTCGCACTCGACGACTCGCCCAGCTGTTCCTTCCAAGGTCCAAAACTGCGGGAGTTGAGCTCACCATGAATGTTTATGCAGCCAATGAATGCGTTCCGGTGTCCCTCTCCAAGTTCCATCGCAACCGAATTCGTTACGCAATGAAGACCCGCATGCGCCTCAGCTCGCATCTCCCGTACTGCTACTCGTGAATGTGTTATGCCAACCCCCCTGCACCCTTCGGGAACTTTCTGGGGCTAAACGCTCCTTGTTCGTCACCTCGATTTCAAAGGTGTCAGTCCGCACTGGAGGGAATTGCAATTCAGCGCGCCTCGCTTGTTCAGAACCGACGAGCTTCGACATTCGCAACCTCCCTCAGGCTTCCTTTCCCACAGGGAGCAGCTGGTCCGGACGCTGAGCGCAATGCCTTCCCTTCGAGACCTTGTCATGCAGCAGGCGAGGACGGGGCAAGCTCGTGGTCCACATCCACAAATTACTAACGGAGAATTGGCCGATTTCGCGACTGTGGGCGGGATGAAGAAACTTCATTTATGTGGTTGGGAGCTAGCGATAGACCTCGTTCTTCGCTCCATCCGATTTTTCAACGTCGTCTCGCTGTGTTGCAGCTCTACGACCTTGCCCCAAATCATCCGGAACCCGTTCCATTAGCAAGCTTATTCAGCGATCAGTGGTCGTACCGAAACTGTGGGCCTATCGTTCGCCGCTTCGTCATCAACTCCTCCAGTCAATATGACGTTCGCAACCTGAACGTGTATTCCACGCGTGGCGCCGGCGAATCCGGCCCATTGTCGTTTCGACTTCACGGTGTTCGGGTCTTCAGCTTCTCTGTCGCTTTCAAGATGTACCTCCATGACGTCGGGAGCGTCGAGGTGTCTTTATCCGGGGAAGGGCCCGTCACCTGGCACGAAACCGACATCATAATGCACAGACTTGGTCTTTGCGAGGCTGCGTCCGTATCATGGTCCCGGAATTCCCTGACTTGCGAGATGACTCTCCTCGGTCTTTGCGATCCTCATTCCAGGCCGATCTGCCTTCATGCCTTCATCTGGGACTTGAAACGCCCCATCGATACTTCTAAGCAGCGAAGGCGCGTTATGCTTGTTTTGGCGCGTCGTTTCCCAGCATGACGGCTTCAGGCTGCGAGGATGACGATCGTAGCTTCGTCGTACAAGTCGTACAAGCTCTAAGACTTTCCTATCGAATGATAATTGACTCTGCTATTGAGATCCCAGACATCGCAGCTGATAGAGTGATCTGCAGAGCATTAGAGTGCACGACACTCGAGCTCCGGCGCGCATGCTCAGTCGTGAATATCAGGGGCTGTGTTCTTGAACAGTGAGCAACAGCGGAAATGTCAGTATCGGTAGTAGCAGTTGCAGAGGTATGGTGAGCAATGCATATAACATGCCAGCAAAGTCGAGCGAGCTTGGTGGCGGGGAGTTTCATCAGGAAACTCCTCCTCTGTAAATTAGTATCATAAAGGGGGAAAATGTCAAGTAATAAATGGACTATCCATGCAGATAAAGCTACTTTGGGGCCTTTTACCGCACATAGGAGCACATAGGAGCAAATAAGTCCAAAGAGAAGAAAATCTAGAAGGTCCCCCCTTAGCATCTGCCACATTTTGGGCAAAATGTGCACAAATATGTGAAATGTTCTGAAATTTTTGGGCATATTTTGGTGATCTGTAGCATCAATTGTCTCCACAAATTGGTCATATGTACAGGACATTCCATCCATTCTTCTTGTATAATAGTTACATGGTGCAGGATTTTGTGCACATATCTATGACTTAATCTTGTATTCTATCTCATGTATGTTCAGTGGAAGTGAGCATGTGACCCACAACAGATCGCATTGATATTTCAGACAAGACATTATACAAGCTCTACAGTTAACACTCAGTTGGCCATGGTGTACGCGAGTCTGCTTCGTTGGCTACACCGCA